GTGATGCTCACACCCAGTAGAGGCAGGATGCATGTTGTTGACTTGATCCGGTGACAGTGCTGAGATCAAAGGGGTCGTTATGTGTCTGCTCACACCCTCCCCCAGCTTCATCCCAGAAGGAAGCACAAAGTTCTTCCTTTCCCATAGTTGGGCAGGTGGTTAGCCTAGTCTAGCACAGCAATTTTGAGAAGATAGTGATAGCTCATCCTAGCCAGTGGAAGTCACAAAAGGTCCATAGTGAGATGACATGAGGGAGCCCAATGGAAATTGTACAGAAGCCCATTATTATTTTTCTTTCTTTTTTTTTTTTTTTTTGATACTGGGGATTGAACTCAGGGGCACCTCACTGAGCCACATCCCTGCCCCATGTTGTATTTCATTTAGAGACAGGGTCTCACTGAGTTGCTTAGTGCCTCGCTTTTGCTGAGGCTGGCTTTAATGCATGGTCCTCCTGCCACAGCCTCCCGAGGGACTGGGATTTCAGTCATGTGCCATGGCACCCATTATCTTTTTTTGGTACCAGGGATTGAACCCAGGGGTACTTAACCACTGAGCCACATCCCCAACCCATTTTTTATGCTTAGGGCCTTGCTGAGTTGCTGACTCTGGCCTCCAACTTGTGAACCTCCTATCCTAGCCTCTGAGCTGATGGGATGACAGTTGCATGCCACCATGCCTGGCTAGAAGTCCATTATCTTCTGATACTTCCTATACCTTCTAAGGAAGCAATTTGCTGTCCTGTGCCTGCAGTGACTTCTGACCTCTTTCTTTTAGGCTCCTGTGTTGATTGATTCCCTTTGTAGGAAGATACCATGGCAACAGACTTAAGGTTTCCAAGCCAGAGGATCTTTATTCTATGTCCTCAAGCTTGCACATGGTATTAACAAAAGTTGGTTGCATTACATTTAATCTCTTCGTTTTGTAAGTTTCCAGTCAAATCCCAAAACTTGCCAGAGAGATCCCAGGTCAAGTTTGTGTTTTCTCTGATATAGGCCCTGAGTATAAAGTCACTCTCTGTGACTTTTTCCCACTACTTGTCTTACCCACAAGGCTTTGACCTCTGTGGCATTTTGAACCAGGACTGAAAGATTTGGGGGAGCTTCAAAACAGTTATCAAGACCATGACAATCATTTGACCCACCTGCCAAGCTTTTTAGCATTCTGGGCTTAAAAAGCTAATGGAATCAAGGGAACTGGATTTCACAGGAGTGGCCATGAGCTTATGATAATTGTTGCTGGGTGGGGAGCACCCAGGGATTTATCTTACTACTACTTCTTATGTATGTTGCAAATTTCCAACATAACAAAAGGAAAACAACAACTGAGCTGGGTTTTGTATCCAGTTCACTTCTCCTTTTTATTTTCCCATCTGTTTTCCCCCTTAGTGCTGGAGATCAAACCTATGCTAGGCAAGCTTTCTCCCACTGGCTATCTAATTTTACCATTAATGATGTATTTGTGTTAGGCAATCCTTGTAGCACGAGATGTCTATGAACATCCTGATGGAAAGAGAATTCTAGATATTGGGAGATCAGGATTCTTGACCCATCTCCACTACCCACCGTTTAGTTCTGGGTCTCTAAACCAGTCACACATGTGATGATTTATCTAATCTGTTCATTGTCAATGTATTTGCACTTGTTCTCTGTGTCAGAGATACAAGTGTATGCACTTGTTGCGATGCCTTGAAAAGTTAAGAATGATTTCTGCAGAATTTATTGCTACTGATTCTTGAATTTCTTTATGGGAAATACAGATGCAAGGTGACTTAGCAGACGAGGTCTAACTCACTGGTATCTTCCCTGAACATCCCTTGTTTTATAGCTGTTATTGACCACCTGCCTCTGCCGGAAGAGCCTCCAGGCCTTGGGCTTGGCAGCAGGCACCTTACTCCAGATCTGTTTCCAAACCTCTTGGCTCTCCTCACATGCCGAGGCAAGCCTAGCACGAGTCTCAGCCTTCTCGGGAACTTGCCAGCATCCCCAAAGCAGCGAGAAGATTAATCAGACCACTTGGTACTCCTAAACCATGTCATGGAGGTGTTTGCTTGATTAGAGAAAGCACTCCCTAAAGTCTGGATGTAATCTCAGACTTCAAGGGTATGTGGAGACCAGTGATATTTTATTTCCAGAGTCCCCAGAGACTTTGGTAATTTGGGTTTTCCCTCTCTCCTTAGAATCTAAGTAGTAGTTCTGAAAATCAACAAGAGGGATTTAAAATTAATCAGACTCCTTCAGCTACACAGAAGTTTAAGCTCCTCAACCCTTGGTTTTACTTGGGTGCTTTGATTGGTTGTTCTCAGCCCTGGGCTAGGTTGCAAGACTCCCAAATCCTAGTCTCACATCTGCCACTTTTTTGTTCATAGGAAGGAAAGCAAAATCCCCCTAAAGGACAAAGAAAATCAAACATGAAGTCTCCCAGCCTTCCCTGGAGGCCCTCCAAGGTTCTGTTTTGTCTTCTCAGCTGTGATCTTAGCTCAGAGAAGGTCATGTTTTGTTTTTGTCTTTTGTCTTCCTGCCCGTTCCAGTTGGTCCCAGTCTTTTGAGGTGGGGATTGCTGGGAGGTCACAATGTGCCATTGTTTGGGATGACAGTTCTAGGAGAGCAGGGCTGAGGTCCTGTGTCCAGTATTCTGAGAAGCCGACAACCACAAGAATCAGACATTAGGCCCATCAGTGGTGTAATTGTTGAGTTCTTCTCTCCAGGTCTACTGACCCTATTTTTTCTTGAATTTTTTTTTTTTTTTTTTTTTAGTTTTAGATGGACACAATACCTTTAATAAATTAATTTATTTTTATGTGGTGCTAGGATCAAGCTCAGTACCTCACGTGTACTAGGCAAGAGCTCTACACTGAGCTACAACTCCAGCCCCTGGCCCTATTTTTTCAAGGAAAAGTGCGGACACATTAAGTGTCTATGCTTATGAAAATTGTGTTGGCAGAATATTTGAGGCCAGGATGCTTTGGAGAATCTGGGATATAGGTTCACCTTAGTGTTAAGGGCTATGAAAGATTTTATAAATTGTTTCTCTTATTCTTAACAACTTACTTCACTCCAAAATCAGAATTCTTTCATCTTCTCACCCCTGCTGTGCTGGAGATTGAACCAAGGGCCTCATAAAGCTAGGCAAGCACATTACCAAGGAGCCACATCCCCAGTCTCTTTCCACTTTTTGGATGTGTTAAGAGCACTGTGGCTGAGAACAAGGACTTTAGAACCAGAATCCCACCCCAGTATTTACTAGCTGTAGAACTGTCCATTTTAGTTACTTAGCCTCTCTGTCCCTCAGTGTCTTCTCATAAATGATAGCTGTTTATAGTATGTAATGGGAGAAAGGTACTCATGAAAAGTCAGGTGTAAGAGAAGAAATATTGGTGATTTACCACCAAAGAGACAAACTGTTGCTCGAGGTAATTTTTGGCAACAGCACAGGAGGTGGCTGGGTTTTCTTAGCCTGGGTTTTCTGAAGTCCTGAGGTTTCTGAGGAAGGAAAAGGGGATTTAAAAACACAGTATATTTTTATTATGGAAAATTCCAGGTGTATAGTCAAGTAGAGAGACCAGTATGAAGAACTGCCATAAACCTATCAACCAGCTTTAAAAATTATAATATTTTGGGGTTGGGGATGTATTTTAGTGTAGAACACTTGCCTAGCATGCATGAGACCCTGGGTTCTGTCACCAGCACTGCCCTTTTCCCAAAGTCAACATCTTAATAGATCTTATAAATCTCCTTTTCCTTACCCCTTGCCATGGAGTATTTTGAAGCAAATCCCAGACATGATATCATTTCACCTGTAAATCATATGTATCTCAAATAGATGAAAAATTTTAAAGATTATCAACCTAAAAAATTAGCACTCATTCTTTAAAATGAGCTAATACTAGGGTGAACATATGTCATGGTTTGGGGCAGACCAAATTTATGCTGTTGTCAAAAATAATTATTAACAATGCCCTAAAAGGGGGATTTGCAGATCCTGGTGGTTGGTTATGCCTTCTAGCCTTCTCTCCTGCCAGCTTACTGTGCCTCTATCTCTTCTCTCATGTAGATTCATACATGCCTCTTCCTTTGCTCATCCTTGACCCAGTTTTTCTTCTCTCAAAATTGCCCAAGAGGTCTCTGGGTAAATTCCCCTGGCCAGGGAGATTATAGGTGTCTACTTGATTTGTACACAGTTTTTTTCCAAAGACTTGTGGCTTTCTCCCAGGGTTGGAGCAAAATATCTAGCAGTTTTCTGATTAGATTCTTACAATTTGAAGGAGAAGAAATAAGACTCTGTTCCAAGGCAGAATGATTTAATGACAATAGACAGGACCCCCAGCTAAATAGAAAATCATCAGGGAAATTTAAAGCATGGTGTTACCTTTTTAGTTTTCCCACCTAACATCGGTAATGTGTAGTAGAATCAGAACTACACTAGGAACCAGGGTTCTTCCTCTAGTTTGCTCTGTGACCTTACCCATTTGAAGCATTTCCTACAGTGTAGCCTCTCCCATCCCCTCACAGTCTGCCCCTTTCTTTGCTCCCATTTATCCAAATATCAATTGGCAATTGTGATGACATTTTTAATTTTGTAATTAGACTTTCCTGAGTGCTTCTTGTAAAACTTAAAGATAAGGACCTCTCTTTACTTTTTTATCTCCATTGCCTAGAACAGGGTCTGGCACATAAATGGTTGCTGAATGGATAAACACCAAAGAGCCTTACTTCTCAGTTTGGTAAAAATTAGACCAGATTCTCCTTAAGTTTCCTCAGGTTCTGTGACTTCCCAGAGTTGCTCAGCCAGCTTATGGTGGAGTGGAATACACTGAGCTGAGGAAGATGGGATGGGACAGGTGAACAATGACTTCCTCCATTTCCCAACTTCATCTTCTCTTTTGGTCTCTTCTTCCTCCTCTTTTTTCCGTACATCCACTCCTCACACACTTATTTATCTTTTCTTCTCTCAGTGTGCTGGTTCTTAGAGTTCCCTGGAAAAAGCCAGAAGTTGATTCCATCATGGCCGAACTCAAGGTGGAGAGCCGGGCCAGTGTTGACTGGCAGAAGCGCTGCCTGGCCCTGGAAACACAGCTTTTCAGGTTTCGCCTCCAGGCCAGCAAGATAAGGGAGCTGCTGGCTGACAAGGTGAGACCTGGAGTTCAGGGGCTGCCTCCCCTCACTGCGGGGGTCATTGTCAGAGAGGGCCAGAGTCAAAGGGGGAGAGTTGGTGAAAGTAAACTTTCAAAGAGATGCTTTTCACACGTGCAAAATAAAACCCAAGGTAGCTTTTTGTTTATTTGATTTTGTTCTTATTTTAAGACCAGACTTAGCGGTTTACTACCCTGTCACCTGTCATTTCTCCCTGCTCTACCTCTTCATAGGTACACCAAAGAAATGATAGAATTCTTCTTGGTCTTTTATAACCTCTTGGTTACTTGTGGCTCCTATGTTCCATTATCCCTTAATATTTCTTCTTTTCTTTTGGTACGGTGACTGAACACAGGGCTACTCTACCACTGAGATATTTTTTTAATTATTAAATTTTTTATTTATTATTTTTTATTATTTCTCTATTTTATTATTGTATTTTTTTTTATTTCAAGATAGGATCTTACTAAGTTACTGAGGTTGGCCTTGAACTTTGAATCCTCCTGCCTCAGCCTCCTGAAGAGCTGGGATTCCAGGTGTGTGCCCTACCACCATGCCCAGGTTCCCCTTAGCATTTCTTTTTCACTGTGGGCAGGATATTGTTTTAGGAGAAGAATGCAAATGTATCCATCCTACCGCTCACCTTTTGTTAAGCACACGAGCCACTGGTTTTCTGGGGACAAGGACACAGGCACTGGAGACCTTTCTGGCTCTACCAATTTCTAGCTATGTGACCCTGAGCAGGTCCCCTTCACCACTAATGCAGGGAGATAGATGTCCACCTCTCAGACGTTAGTTTGAGAGTTACCTCACATATATGGAGGTCTTCGCATAGAACGGGTCTTAAATAGGAACAATTTTATCTTTATAGGCTTTGGTGGGCTGGTGTGGGAAACTTACCACCTTTCATAATGTTTCTGCTGACCTCCAGAGGCATTGTACAGCAAAACTCATGTAGAGAGTGGAGACTTGCACTGAAGAAATATATATATATATATATATATATACATACACACACACACACACACATACAAACTTACATATGTATTCATTCTGTATATATTGTGGGGGAGGGGAAGTACTGGCCTTAAAGGGTTCAAACCCAGCTATATCCTCATGCTCAGCCCTTTTTATTTTTTATTTTGAGACAATTCTCCTTAAGTTTCTGAGGCTGGCCTCAAACTTGTAATCCTCCTTTTTTAGCCTCCCCAGTAGCTGGTTTTTCAGGTTTGTAAACAGATGGATATATATATATATATATATACATATACACACACACATATATACACATATATATACATATACATATATGCATATCTATATCTTTATATATCTTAAGTGAATCAATCACTCTTTCTGTAGTTTTGATTATATAGTATCAATCTGTTTAGCAAATCTCTCTCTCTCTCTCTCTCTTCCTCCCCCCCCCCCCCCTTTGTACTGGGGATTGAACCCAGGGGCACGTAGGACCTTACTGAGTTGCTGAGGTGGCTTTGTACTCTGGATCCTCCCAAGCCTCTGGGATTACAGGTGTGAGCTGCTGCCCCCAGCTCAGAAACCTTTCTTTCATAGAACAAAGGTAAAATCCAGCTTAGCCCTCTTCAAGTAATTCAAAGTCTTGATGAGTAAGCAACCTGTTTTATTGATAGTCCTGTAACCTGGAGCCCAGGAAGGCAAGTCAGTGGCCTCACGTCTGCATTTCCAAAGCAGGGGGAGTGCCCTGGGCTAGTCTGGACTAGAATTCTTGAACATTGGCTCTATTGGCATTGCTGTCCTTGAGTTCAAACTGTGAAGAACAGGGGCCCTGCACGTTCCTGCCAGGTGGTGCCAATGGAGAGGAAAGAACTCAGCCCCTTCAGGAAAAGGACAACAGGTCTTAGACAGTGGTTTTCAAAGTTTGGCCAGAATCACTTGTTAAGCACGCACTTGTTAAGCATATCTGTCCTCGGCCCCACCCCAGTCCTCTTGATCCAGGTCTTCAGGGTGCTGTAATCTCTGTGTTTAACAAGCTCCCAGAAAATGGCTTTGTACTATAAAGTGGGTGAACCTTGCCTTAGGCTGTAGTGTTAGGGGCATGTAGGAGGCAAGGAAAGGGTAGGTAGGAATACATTCAGCCAGGTGGCCTGAAATACCTCAGAGGAAGGACACTTCTGTTTCTACCAGTAATTAGGGCCACAAAATAACCTTTTAAATTTTTTAAAAAATATTTTTATTAGTTTTGATGGACCTTTATTTTATTTATTTATATGCGCTGCTGAGAATCGAACCTAGTGCGTCACACATGCTAGGCAAGCGCTCTACCTCTGAGCCACAACCACAGCACCTTTTAAAAATTCTTACTATGAAATAACTAAAATGCTGGATGAAATATTTTAAATATCCTTCTAAACACAGAGATGAACATTGGGAAAAAAAATAATAAAAGGACTCCTTAGGGAGCAGAAGAGGGAAGAACCAGGGTGGAGCTCACCTCTGGTGGCTGAGTGGTGTGGGGAGAAGAGGGGAGGACAAGGGAGGAGAGGTGAGGGGAGGGGAGGGGAAGGGAGGGGAGCAGAGGGTGGCCTCCTTTTAGGAATGTAAGGTTTCAGGTTTGAGTTCTGTGGAGACAGAGATGAGGTTTGGCTGGTTGGATCTGAAGCTGAAATAGAGTCTTCCTCATGGAGTCAGGACTACCAAAGGGCTCACCATAAATAAAAAGGTAGATGACAAGAAAATCATCCATCAGCACAAGGAGATGGCAATAGCTTCTCAGACTTAGGTAAGGCTCTGGGTAGAAAAAACAAAAGTAAAGAAAAAGAAGTTTTTAAGAACCTGATGATAATACTAGTTCAATGTTAGGATTTCTACCACCAGTGTGGTTGAAGAAGCCTAAGTTCTGGGCCAGGGGTAACACTGGGGAAGTTTGTAGAAAACAGATACAAAACCTCTTTGAAGAAATAAGACCTCAATCCAGATCACACAGGATCCTCACAGGAAGAAGAGCCTCAATGAAGGTGAGTATATAATCTAAAATGACTAATGCTTGAGGAATAATTTACGATGAGTGAGAACTCACCTACCTGACAAACAATTAGTCTTCTGATAATAGAATTCTTGGCAAGAGACAATAAAATAAACGAGTTCAAAACTATTGAAGACATAATGCAGAAACTTGGAAACATGAGACAAGAACAAGGCAGTATCCAAAAAGGTCAGGTCAACTTGAAAATTAAATAGAAATTCTAGAAGAGAAAGTATTTTAATTGAATTTGTTTTCTTTTGGGGGTACTGGGGATTGAAGCCAGGGCCTTGCACATGCTAGGCAAGCACTCTATCACTGAGATGCACTCCCAGCCCAGAAGGGAGACTTAGTGAATAGATAGACCTGAGGAAGTCATCTAGAATGTAGTACAGAGAAATAAAGATATAGAGGCTGAAATATGGATGCCAGGATGGCGGGATTCCAGAAATGGAGAAGAGAATGAAGGAGAGGCATTACTTGAAGGGGTAATGGCTAAAATGTTTCCAAACTTGATAAAAGATCTGAAGCCTCAGATTCAGAAAGCAGAAACCTAAACAGTATAAATTTTTAAAAATCTGTGTATACTATTTTAGCTGTGAGAAGGAACCCAAAACAGCAATGGCTCAAACTAGACAGATGTTTCTTTCTTTTTCCTGTAGCATTTCAAACATAAGCAATCCTGTCTTCTACGTGTTTAAAGATGGTTTCCTGGGCTGGGGTTGTGGCTCAGAAGTACAGTGCTCACCTAGCATGGATGAGGTACTGGGTTCGATCTTTAGTACTATATAACAATAAATAAATAAAAATAGAGGTATTATGTCCACCTACAACTAAAAAATAAAATAAAAAGATGGTATCCAAATTCCTTCCAGTTCCCTTTCCCAGAGGTGCCTGTGTTCCTTCTGCTCATATTTCACTGACCACATCTTTGTCACATGGTTGTACCCAGCTTCAAGGAAGGTTGAGAAATATTCTTTTTTTTTTTTTTTTTGTGGTGCTGGGGATAGAACCTAGGGAATCACACACGTTAGGCAAGCATTTTATCACTGAGCTACAACTTAGCCCCAGGAAATATTCTTTATTCTCACCAGTCATGTGCTCAGCTAAAAGTTGAGTAGTCTAAGATAGAAAAAAGAGAAGAGGAGAACACATAATGGGAAACAACTAGCTGTCTTTAAGTATACAATAATAAGAGTCATATCAAATAGAAATATAGTACATATAACTTTAAAATCAGTAGTGTGGAAAAATGAAATAAAGTCTTAAATCCAGATAGGGAACAGGAAAAAAAAAGAATAGAAAAAGGAATACAAGCCAGACACAGTGGTGCACACCTATAATTCTAGCGGTTTGGGAGGCTGAGGCAGGGAGATCACAAGTTCAAAGCCAACATCAGTAATTTAGTGAGGCCTAAGCAACTCAGAGAGACCCTGTCTCTAAACAAAATACAAAAAGGGGCAGGAGATGTCGTTCAGTGGTTAAATGCCCCTGGTACCTATCAACAACAACAACACAAACAGAATATATAGTAAGAAACAAAATGCAGTGGTAGAAGTAATTCCAAATATATTGGTCACAGGAGACACATATAAGAATACATATTGCAGTACTGACATATAAAAAATCGTGAATATTCTAAATGTCTTAGTAGGGGGCTGGATCAATATATTGAGCATATTTATACACTGGAATACTACATTGCATTTAAAAAGGTCTTAAGTAGAGCTACATATATAATATCAACAAATCTCAAAAACCAATATTGGACAAAAAATATCAGAAGAGTACAACGTAGTTTATGTAATTAAAAAAAAACTACGAGAAGTGTTCTAATACCTAATCTAATACCTGTGTAACCTTGGGCAAGTTTCCTTACCTCTCTGCTTCAGTTTCCTGACCTTTACTATAGGAACATGAATAGTACCTGCCTTTGTAAAGAAATCTCAGGGCTGGGGATACAGCTCAGTGGTAGAGTACTTGTCCAGCATACACAAGGCCCTGGGTTCAATCCTCAACACTGCAAAAAACAAAACAGTAGCAAAACAGTTCTCCAGGTTTTGTACAGTTATTTCTTATCCCAGCTCCACACTTGTATATTTTATATATTTGGGACTAAGTATATGATTTCAATCAAACATAAAATCTGCAGCTATGAAAAAGAAGCAAAAAACTGTTGTCTTAGATTACAACAGAGTTAGAACTGTTTAATAACTAAACTGGTATTGCAAACCCAAATGCTCATAGGTAACTTTGATAAAGGTAAAGTGAAAAGCACCAGGCGGGCTGTGGGAGAACTCAAGGACATGGGCTTAAGCCACATATTGCCATAAGAAAACGTCATCCTGGTGTGGCCAGATCTTCTGATTTTTTTTTTTTATAGAAGCTGGAAATTGAGAATTGTTTGTGGTGTCTGGACTTTTATGTGTCATTTGAGATTTGAATGTGAGAGACTATATAGCATGGTGGCTGACAGTATGAACTGTGGAACCAGTCCACTTGCGTTTGAATCCTGGCTGTGAATCTAATACCTGTGTGACCTTGGGCAAGTTTCTTTACCTCTCTGCTTCAGTCTCCTGACCTGTACAATAGGGACACGAATAGTACCTGACTTTGTAAAGAAATTGAAATGAGTTAAGACTACTTACAACAGTGCTAGACGCACAGCAAGTGGCCCTGTTTAGCTATGTACATGTAGGCTAAAGACCCACACCACTATATATGTCATGGAGGCACTCTTTAGACTCATAGTTGGCAAGTTTTGACTTAAACCCATTCTTTATGTAGATGAATTCTAAATAGGATGACATGTAATCTATAATCTAACCAGGACACTCTGAAGAGAAATGAAAGGAGGCTCTGTTAGTAACTGTGCTGGGATAGCAGGTGAGACTATCCCCAGCAAACTGGTCCCCCTGGTCCTAAGTGCCATCTTTGTACAGAAAAGCACCAGTAAGCAGCTTTTATCTACAAACCAGCAAATGCTCTATGGGGGTACTTTGTGTCATCTTTCTAACAACCCTAGCAGAGAGATGCTGTTGCTGCTCTCCTGTTTTGCTGGTAAGGAAACTGAGGCACAGGGTTAAGGAACTTCTCTAAAACTACACCATAGCACAGTCAGCCAGGTTCCAGAGCCTTGGCTCTCACCTGTGACAGTGGATGTAAGGTGGTGGCCGGAAAGTTAAAACTTCCTTTTCAGAGAAATAGTGGAGACTGAGGATGGTGTGGCTTTCAGTTCAGGCCTCTGCTTGGCATGGCAGGACTACTCTGGGCTGCAGGAGAATGCTCATTGCTTCTGCCACGTGGGGCTGCTTCACAGCATTGCCATATGGAATAAGGAACGGTGGACATGGGGCTTGAATACCAGATTGGTGCCAAGTGCATTTCGTCAGGTTATTGCAGCCAGTTCTAGGACAGTTTATGCATCTTACGTGCAGCTGATGAAAGTAGATCCCTGTCAGCCACCTAAACCTGACACCTCCTTGGTTGGTGTGTCACCCCAGACCCGCAAACTAAGGACAGCTGAGGACATTGTCCTGGCAAGGCCTGTGGGAGAAGGAACAGAACCCAAATAAAGGGAGGCCCACCTAAAGTGCCAGATTTCCAGAGCTCCAGGTATGACCCTTTAAGCAAATGTGGAGAAGAAGGATCTAGGCATGAAGTGTTGATACTGGGATTAAAAGGGAAGCCTATAAACTCCCAAAATGACACACCGAGTACTCCAGCGGCAAAAGAGAAAGTATACTTTCATAAAAACAGATAGAAACAAAATGTTAAAGATATTTTCAAACAAGAACAGTGGGATGTTAGTAATTGTTGAGTATAGCAGCATAAATATAGGATTATGCTTTCTCTTTTTAAAAAGTCTGGTTGTTCAAAATGTTTTCAATATTCAGAAACTAGTTTTAGAGGAAATAGAATGCCTCAGCATAAAAGGGTAAACACAAAATGCTTTGAGTGTCAAGTGTCCTTGCCAGGAAGATAAGAATGACTGGGAGGGTTGGCAACAGTGGGGACCACCTGGCAGCCTTGAAGCAGGCAGCCCTGGCTGGGAGGAGACCCTGGCCCTGGACAGTTCCTTGCCATTTCTTTTGCTTTGGTAAAGCAAAACCTTGAAGGGATGGATAATAAAATACCTTAAAGGGATGGATAACAAAATCTTGAGGGGAAAAATTCTTGCTGCATTGCCCATGACAAGTGATTTCTGGCTCTGATTAGTATCATTGACCACTCACTCTTGATCCAAATGAAAATGCCTAGCTGGGAGGTAAGACTCAAGTTTGTTCCTTATTCTACCTTGGTCTCCATCTCAAAATTGGAAGACAAATATTCCAATGGATGTATTAGAAAAAGTCAGACAATTATTGCAGAAGGTCATGGGTATGGCCTTCTTACGGAAGTCATAGGCCATTTTCTAAGCTGCAGAGCAGATATTAGAACTAAGGGATCCAGCCGAAGGTCAATCTAGGAAATCTCTTTAGTGTCCAAGGCCTTCTCATTTAACATTTCATTGTATTCTTTAAAAAGAAAATGCTCCCAGTCATTGCCTTAGTTACTTTCTTCCTGCATGGGCAAAACTCAAGCAAACGGGGGCTCCTGGAGTACCTCACAGAACCCCACTTCTGTCCAACATCCATGACTTGGTAAAACTTGCGTGCCTTTTCCTGTGTGGGTCACTGGCTCCAGTTTCTGGTCTCTTGATTGCAGGTTTCAAATTCCTGGAGAGAAAGGACCTGGTCAGCCTGCTCAGGTCTGATGCTGAAGGGGGAAGGGATATTTAGTACTGATCTGGGAGCCACCACTATGTATCATCCAGTCCTTGTCTCCCATATCACTAAGTGGAATTCCTTTTACATTGGGCAACACCCCTATAACCATAGTATAGATCTGTGTTGTGCCATTGTCTGTCCATTGGCTAAGGGTCATGGAGCTCCTTCAGGACAGGCCCTAGGGCCATTTGGTTTGGGAAAGTGCGCCTGGCTCTGAGAGGAATTGCTCAGTTCATTGGTAAATTTCAAGCCAGAGTTCAAGTCAAGGGGAGGAAGTGGAGTAGCCAGAGAAAAGGTGAGGTCCGCACATTAGGTAAGTGAGGGCTGGTCTGGAGCATGAAAAGTAAGGGACCCTGATCCTGCCCAGCATCATGGAGGACTGCAGGGATATGCATCAAGTATGTGTGTAATGAATACAGGTTGCCCTGGGGCAAGACAGGCCTGGGGCGAAATTAGCCAGGCCCAGGCACATGGCATTTGACATTTGACTGTAGGCTGTATGAATTTTCTGTTCCTCCTAGGACCTCTGTGTGCTAGTGTGAGTTTGGGCAGCACATGGTGATGCCCTGGCATGGGGAGAGTGGGAGCTGATGTCCAACCCACATTCTTCTCGCCAGTCTGGGCTCATGAAGTTGCAAAGAATGTTGCCATGGCCGTGGGCTCATGAGCAACTCTTTAGGCTGCAGTTTTGATCTGGTCCCTGATGAATTTCCGTATGCAAGACCATCAGTTCCTTTGCTTGGGCCACTTGGTAGAATTACTGAGTTCCTCAGACCCGAATGACATGCTTTTCCTGGCAGCAAGATAGACATTTTTTCTTTTTATTTATTTTGCATTGCTGGGGATTGAACTCAGAGCCTCAAACATGTTTAGCAAGCTCTCTACCACTGAGCTACATCCCTAGCCCAAAGACAGAATTTTTAAAATGTAGGGGCTGGTGTTCAGTGGTAGAGCATATGCTTAGTAAGCACACAGTCTTAGGTTTATTATAATCCCCAGCACCAAAAAAAGGACTTGAGCCTTTCTATTTCTTTAAAATTTAAGAATGTCATGAATGTTATTTATACCCAGCCAGTGAGATATTCTGGGTAGGGAAGGACAGTCTCTTCCTGATGACTGAGGTGGGCTTATGTAGGATCATGGCCAAGTTGGGCGTGTGGGTGAGCAATGGTATGGCCCTGCCTGTGACCCAGTGCAGAGAGGAAGAGGGGACTGAAGAAAGGATGGGGGCAGGAGTGCTCAGGAAGAAAGATGTAACACTGCTACCTCAGCACCCTTTACAGTGGAAAAAGAGCTAGGCTCGCTCCCTCAGCTGTGAGGACAGCAGCCATGCCCCTTTACCTACCCACTAAACTCAGGATCAGGGAATCCAGAGTTGCCAGGAAAATCTTTACTCTGACACCCTTGAGCCACTTGAGATGGCAGTTGAAGACTGATCTGACCTGAGGGTGGCGTCTGTATACTTTGCTTGAGTGCCCCAGTGCCATTTTCAGTTGGGTCACAGCACCTGTATCTCCCCTTTCTGTCTGGCTGTACAGATGCAGGAGCTGGAGCAGAGACTGCTGGAGGCGGAGCAGAGAGCAGAGAATGCAGAGACCCAGGTAATGGGGAAGGGGATTAGCTCAAGTATGGAAATGTGGGCACAATCATCACACTGAGTTCTTTGCAAGGGGGAAATGAAAAAAAACTAACTGCTGGACCTGAACGTGTGAAGGTGCAGGGAGTGTTGTATGAGAATGAAGTGGTCTGGGTAAGGTCAGTATAGTTGGTCCAATAGGCCTTGCTGTGCTGTGGGAATAAATTAAGTTATAGTCTCAGTGATTTGTCACATTTAGCTCTCATGTATAGAACCCATCCATTGAGGGTTCACCAGCAAGTCTGCTCCCACAGTCATTCAGGGGTCCAGGCTGGAGGTACCTCCCCTGCCTTATAGCTGCTCCTCTTGGTTGGGTGTGTCAGGGAAAGAGCTGGATGCTTATGCACCAGCTCTTAAATGCTTCAGGCCAGAAATGATGTGCCATGTCTACTCCATTGGCTGGATGAATTATGTGGCCCCATCTAACTAGAGAGGGTTAGGAAATATGGAGAAGCATGCCAATATTCAGTGAACAGTAAGTACCTCTCCTCATGATTTGGAACAGTGCCCTTCAGGGCCATTTGTCATATCCAGCTTATCCCTGGTAGGGTCCCCAGAGATAGATGGGCCAGAACCTAGCTGGTCTTTTCAAAGTAGCCAAATTGAGTGTCTTGCTTGTCAGTTCCTTTTGTCCAGATAAAGGCTTAATAAATGGCCACTTAATTAATTGGAACAGACTGCTGTGGGTAAGGGCTCTGCCTGAGAGTCGTGGATTTGAATAATGTGAGACCTCATGAGAGCATTGGTACTTTTCAGGTGGGTGTGATGGAAGAAAAGGTAAAACTGTCCAATCTGAAGAATGTGGACTCCACAGGGAGCCTGCACCGAAAATACCAAGAATTGCTGAAAGTCATGCAGGGCAAAGATGAACTTATCAGCCACCTGGAGGCACAACTGGAGAAGCAGGTAAGGGCTAACTTGCAACAGAGCACCAGTTCCCTCAACATCTGCTCTAGCTGGCCCCAGCTTCTGAGCCCCTCTGCTTGAGGCATGAAATGATGGAAACTCACTCCCTCATGAGCCTGTTTTTTCTCTCTTTGAAATAGTGATTTTATTTACTACAGATATATAATTATAAATGGGATGTTACATTACATGTAGTATTTTTAAAATTATATTTAGAAAGACCCATGCTTTGTTCCATAATGATGAACCTGTTGTTTTATAAGGAGATTTAATTATTGGAAGATTCCTTCCCACACTGTTAGAAGTCAGGAGAGGAGATAGGGAAAAGGACTTTGGAGGCAGATGATCTGGGTATGAATCTCACCTCTGTACCTGCTGTTCTCTGTGAGCAAATTACATAAGTTGGTGATTCTCAGTTTACACATTTATAAAATAGGAGTCATAATACCTCATAGGGATTTTGGGAGGATTAGGGGAGGTAATCTCTATATAGTATCAGATACATGGTCAGTGCTTGGTAAAGAGACCTTTTCCCTTTCCACGCGGGCCCATGTCTTGCCAACATGTGCTACACGATACTTGTCTGGAGTGTAACCAGAACAGCATATGGCTGGACAGTCAACCTTGTTGAGCTGTTTAGCCAGTTTCTCAGCTAACCTGAATAAACAGAGACCTAAGTTATTACCTTCTCTGAAAATCAAGGCCTCCCTTCCTGAGTATGTGGGAGGCACTGCTCAGCATTTCAGCTATAGTGAGCACCCTTGCTCCCCAGAGGACTTCTGGAATGCCCCACTACCAGTACCTATACCCAGACTCCTCTCCTTGTCAATCTCATGAACTTCATCCCAGCTCTGTCCCTTCCCCCGGCCATTGGTTTTATGTGGCCAACTTCCCCCTGGTGTCAGAGCTCCATCTATTTCTAACAGTGGACCCCACAGTAGGGTCAGGTGACTTTAATTTCTGCATGTGCATTCTCCATGAAGTTTCCAGCTAATTCTGGCAGTATCTTCCAACCATCGCGGGCAAATTTGTAATCATTCATCAGCATTCACTGAACATTCCCTCACTGGATGTGCCTTTATATGCCGTGGGGCAGCGTGTGTTCCTGCACAATCATGGGAAAACAGTTTTTACACTTGGAATGTCTAATTAAGTTTAGAGGTACCCTAGCTTCTCTTTCAGTGGGATTATGGATGTGGCAACATTCTGGGGATTGATGGGCAAAATGACTCCTGCTAAAGTTCCTTAAGTCAGAAAAATATTTTACAATTACAATCAATAGGTCAAGATTAGAAGAGAAAGAATACTTTTCTGTGAGTCAAGAGACCTGGTTTGAGTCCCAGCTTTGCTACAAACTGACAGAGGCCAGTCATTTCATCCCTGGGCCTCAGTTTCCACGGCTATACAAAGAGGGTACTAAATTAGGTCAGGGGTCCACTGTTTCTTTTTTTTTTTTTTAATATTTATTTATTAGGTGTAGATGGACTCAACACAATGCCTTTATTTATTTATTTATTTTTATGTGGTGCTGAGGATCGAACCCGGGTCCCACCGGTGCTAGGCAAGCACTCTACCGCTGAGCCACAATCCCAGCCCCTAGGGTCCACTGTTTCTGTAAAGGGCCCAAGAATAACTATTTTAGGCTTTGTGGGCCCCAGAGTCTCTGTAACAACTATTCAACTCTGCTGTTGTGGTATGAAAGCAACTAGAAACAATCCATAAATGAACGTGCATGGCTGAGTTCCAGCAAAACTTTGTTTACAAAAAATAGGCGGCATGGGCAGGGGTGCTGTAGCTCAGTGGCAGAGCACTTCCGTAGCACATGTGAGACACCGGGTTCAATCCTCAGCACCACATAAAAATAAATAAATAAAATATTAAAAAAAAAAACGTAGGTGAGGGATAAACAGATAGAGGACTGGGTTGGCTTGTGGCTTGCCAAACCGTGAACTAGATGACCTTTAAGATCTTCCTAGCCCTCTGACACTTTGATATTCCCATCTCATTTCCCTTGTTTGGAGCTTATGTCTGTCCTCCTAATAGTTGTCTGGCAGTCTTTCTCTACATGCATAATCAAAGTCCTTATTACTGGTCACTCAGCTACTCAGTAGACACTTATTGCTCCTTGGTTTTTAGATCGGGGTCCAGGTCTTGGAGAGCTGGCTGATACCTGGTGCTATGTACTTTCTTTCTCTCTCCATCCTCAGAGTGGCCCACATTCCCCATTTTAGAGGTGCCAGTGTAGGCACAGAAGGTTATTATATCAAATAAGCTCACATGTAGGATGGAAGCCCATGTTCCATTCTATTCTAGGCTGCTTTTTTTAGATACAAACTTCCTTTTTATCCTTAGTGATATGCTAATTTAGACTTTGTGTGTGTGTGTGTGGTGCTGGGATTGAACCCAGGGCCATGTGCATGTGAGGCAAGCACTCTACCAACTAAGCTATAACCCCCTTGGTTTTGTTTTTTTAACTGTAAAGGTAATACATGCTGGGCTGGAGTTGTAGCTCAGTGGTAGAGCGCTTGCCTTGCATGCAGGAGATACTGGGTTCAATCCTTGTCACCACATAAAAACAAATAGATAAAACAAAGATATTGAGTCCATCTATAACTTAAAAAAAAGTAATATGTGCTTATAGTAAAAAATAGACACATAAAAAACCCAGTAGGGTCTAAAATGACAAATAATATTTTTCCTTTATTCCCAACCCTTTATTTCCACTCCTAGCTGTTAATGTTTTTTTGTGTATCAAAGCATGGCATTTTACTTTCATTCTGTGGATGTGCCACGTATTGAAACAATGTGTTGTTGGTAGTGGACACTTAAGACTGTTTCCAGTTCTGAGTTTTCTAGTTGGTGTTTCACTTTCTCAAGTAATATTGCAGCAAATGACTCCCGAGCTGTGGCTTTCTTAGGTCAATGTACACTTTTAATGTTGACATATGTTATCAAATTGCCACCTCACAGGCTTTGCCAATTTGTATAAGAGAGGTCATGCCCAGCATTCATGATGGTTTGGGGGTAATATCAGACTTTTAAATTGTGTTAGTCAGCTAGAGAAAAATAATGTTTTCTTTTTATCTACATACTTGAAATTATGAGTGAGGTCGAGCAGCTTTTCATGGCTTTATCTTTCTTTTTCTGTTGATTTCCTGTTCATGTCCTTTGCATGTGTTTTTTGGATTGTTCAATTCAAACAGCCCTTTGTATGTGGACTTTCTGTGTTGCAAATCCTTCCCCAGTTGGTCTTTTGATTTTGTATAAGGGATTCTTATTTTATTCATAATAGTAATTGATAGTGATGATATAGATTGATTAGTCTTTCCTTCATAGCTTTTTGGGATTTCCATTATACTTAGGAAGGCCCTTCCCACTTTTTAAGAATGTTTTTTAAAAAAATCCTAACTGGGGCTGGGGATGTGGCTCAAGTGGTAGCGCGCTCGCCTGGCATGCGTGAGACACTGGGTTTGATCCTCAGCACCACATAAACATAAATAAGTGAAATAAAGGTATTGTATTCAACTACAACTAAAAAATAAATATTAAAAAATCCTAACTGAATTAAATTTTTTTCTGTTGGGTCCCCCCCATCCAGTCACTCGTTGTCCCTTCTCCCAGCTTCCACTTTTGGGAATGAACTGAAGGCCCTGTCTTTCCTGCAGAAGCAGCTAAGAGCTGAGGAAGCAAAAATTGTTCAAGAAAAAGCTGCAAAGATCAAGGAGTGGGTGACGCTAAAGTTAGCAGAGGTGAGTGGAGAGCTCATGTTGGCGGGCCTGGCCTGGGGGTGAGGCTGGGGTTGCCTTTTCCCAAGTTCCTGCCTCCTCTGCTTGGTGGCAGCTTGCTCACCTTCATCTTGTTAACCATTTGTCCTGCATTCAGATTAAACTCTGTAGCACCTGGCTTTATCTCTTGTTCCTTTTGTCATGATCAGTTTCCCTGGAGCTCCTTACTAGCTTTGTGCTGTGTTTAAGTTTGGGAAGAAGGAAAGAACCTCACTTTTGAGAAGTCCCCTCAGTTTCCTTCTAAGGAGCACACTCAGACCATCCTCCACTCACCGTCTTTTCTTCTCTGTCCCCTCCATTTTCAACTTTTAAAAATCCAGGTATGGTGGCACATGCCTGTGCCTCAGGAGGCTAAGGCAGGAGGATCGCAAGTTCAAAGCCCACCTCAGCAACTTAGCTAAACCCTGGCTCTAAACAAAATATTTAAAAAGGCTGCAGATGTGGCTCAGTGGTTAAGCACCCTTGGGTCAATCCTGGATACCCCCCCCAAAAAAAATTTGTGGCAAACATTAATAAATAATAAAAAGTAATTATGATGAAACATGTAAAATTTACCAAATTCTTATTTTAAGTGTACATTCAGTGGCATTAAATACACACACAGTGTTGAGTAGCCAATTACCACTGTGTCCAAAACTTCTCATCACCCCCCAAAATTCTGTACCCTCCAAATGCTCTCTTTCCCCAGCTGCTAGAAACCTCTACTCCCCTTTTCCTTTCTGGGTATGCATTTTGGTGGTTATCACGTGCTACAGCTTATCAGTGCTGCTAGCATACAAACAAAACCCAGCCTCCTTCTAAAGAAAAGAATAGGGAGTTTGGACAAGGATGAACTCCATCTTTGGAGTTCATCCTTGTCCAAACAAACTTCCTTTGTCCTCCAGAGACACATGGTCCCTCCTTTGGGAGCATGTTTCTCATTTTGCACCCCTCCCCTTCTTTAGATGCTCATCTCAGGTCACATGATAGACTGCAAGTTCTTGGAGACAGAACTAAGGACTGGTTTACCTCCATATTCCCATACCCCCAGCTGATCCTTTCAAAGAGATGCTCCATGAAAGTATGCTGGATTTAATTTAAAAAGAAAATGCATCTGGGCACAGTGGTGCATGCCTGTAATCCCAGTGGCTCAGGAGGCGAGACAGGAGGATCTTGAGTTCAAAGCCAGCCTCAGCAAAAGTGAGGCACTAAGCAACTCAGTGAGACCCTGTCTCTACATAAAATACAAAATAGGGCTGGGGATGTGGCTCAGTGGTTAAGTGCCCCTGAGTTTAATCCCTCATACCGGCCCCCCACCCCTGCAAAAACAAAGAAAAAAAAAATGCAGTTACCATGAGGCTGGATCTCATATGTGTTTTGTTGAACAAAACAAATCAGACACACAGAAGTACATACTGTATAGTTGCATTTATCTAAAGTACAGAAATGGGCACAACTATGGAAAACCAAGGTGAAGGGATGCATCCTGAGATGGTAAGTCCCAAAAAGCAAGGAAGCAAATTCAGTAAACTTAAAAGAGTGGTGTCCTTTAGGAGGGAAATAAGGAGCTTGTGATTGTGAAGGGGTGAGTCAGGAAGTTGCCTGGGGTGCTGCCAGTTAGCTTATATTTGTTAAGTGGGCAATTGTCACATGCATATGAATTTCAGAATTATTTGTGAATCTGTTCATTGATGCAGGATGCAATTGTCTATGTATATGTTATATTTCACTATTTATCTATTTATTTATTTTCAGCACGGCAATTGAAGCCAGAGACACTTTACATCCTCAGCCCATTTTTTTTATCTTTTATTTTGTCACAGAGCCTTGCTAAGTTGCTGCCCAGGTAGCCTCAAACTTTCCATCTTCCCGCCTTAGCCTCCTGAGTAGCTGGGATTGCAGGCATGTGCCACTGTGCCTGGTTATATTTCACACTTTTCAGAAGGATAAACATAGTGAAAGTTTCAAGTCACAGCACCAACAAACAAACAAAACTAGAAAAGGAAGCATGGGGGCTGTCAAAGTAGAGGGTCAGCACTGGATTGGTGGGACACCGGATGCTCTTTTTCAAAGATTTGGGCTTTTAATTTTATTTAGAGTTCTATGTCTGAACCTATAGGAGCTGAGTATCCTAAATCTCCCTTTTCTAAACTTCCCTTATCTCTCCCTCTCTCCCTCTCCCCCTCTCTTCCTCTTCCCTCTACCCCCTCTCTTCCTCTCTCCCTACACCTGCCCCTATCCCTTCCCTCCCTCCCTTCTTTCCTTCTTTCTATGGAACCCAGGACCTTGAGCATACTAGGGATGCACTTTACTACTGAGATACATCCCTGCCCCCTCTAAATCTTCATTTTCTTTTTTTCCAGCTTGAGATGGAGAATCAGCATCTGAAAAACTGTAATCAGCGCCTGGTGGAGCAGGTGGGAGCCCTTCAAGATGCGCTGAAAGGTAGGCAGGCCTGGGTGTGTGTGCTGTGGAGTACGGTGCTGATTTGAGGGAGCTCTCAATACGCCTGTTTTTGCCCCAATCACAGCTCTTCAGATGACACCTTCAGGGAAGCTGCTGGTGGCCCCCCAAGAAGCCCCAGAGGAGAATCCTGTCCCTTCAGATCCAGGAGCTCAGCCTGTGGCACAAGATAGTGGTCCTCAGGCCCAGGCTTTGAAGGTGGCTTTGCCTGGACCTTATCTGGGTGCCCTGCAGAGCAAGGGCTCTGTGCCTGAAGCCAGAAGCCCAGTGGAGGATTCTAGTTGCAGCATGGTCCACCCTGAGGAAATAGAGGCCAAGACCCTTCCACCTCATCTGGGAAAAGAGGGCTCTCCCAGCCAGCTGGGTGTGATACCTGGCTCCGCAAGATGTGGCTCAGCCTCCTTGGGGGAGGGCCTGGTCACTGCTCGTTGTGGAGGGATACTCTTTGGGACCAAGACCTCTGCCAGGGAAGGTGGCCCTGGCAGCAGCCTAACCCTACCAAAGGCACGGGCTTCCAGTGCCCCCTGGAATAGCATCCAGGTGGCCAAAAGGCACCACAGCCAGCCCCAGGTAGGCCCTGGGCACTTTGATCATGTGGTGAACATTGAGGTTGGAGCCCTGGCAGCACTCCACCCCTCTGTCCTTTCTAAGCTGAAGCCCCCAGCTGAGCTCCGGGAAGAACCAGAGAAGATGGAAATGGAGGCATCACCTCCGGCAGGGAAGGAGGAAGGAGAGAACCTGAAGGCCCCTAGACCTGAGCTAGAGAAAGAACTGGAGAATAAACCACCCACACCTCCACTACACCGGTTTCCATCATGGGTAAGAGGCAACCTTGGGGCCAGACAGAGGGGCAGAGCCATCAATAGGCTCACAGTCCACACACTGAGCATCCCTACTGCACTCTGAGGGGCCTCCCCAACCAACCCAGCTGGGGGGGTGGGGGCAGAGCCAGATCTGAAGTGATGTGGATGGTGGCTGGCAGTCATTTCTCAAGCCTCACTAAGTGCCACATGCCAACCTGGGTGCTTTGTGCACATTTTCTCTTTTCATCTTTGTGACTTTTTGAGTGTGGGTTTAAGAGCACAGGTCCTAAGAAGAAACCACTAGGGTTAAAATGCTAACTGTGTGACCTTGGGCAAGTTAGTAAACTCTGTGTCTCAGTTTCCCTACATAATTGGGGATAATAGTCACTATTTTATAGGGCTGTTGTGAGGATTAAATGTGTTGATAATTAAATGTGTTGATATCTAATAAGTCCTTGCAAGTGGTAAATGATACATTAAGTGTTGAGTATTTTTATTTCTTTTTTAATTTCTTTCTTTTTTTTTTTTTTTCCTTTTTTACTTTTTTGGCATACTGGGGAGTTGAACCCAGGCCCTCACATGTGCTAGGCAAGTTCTCTCCCACTAAGCTGCATCCCTGGCCCTTTTTATTTTTTCTTTTGAGACAAGGTCTCGCTAAATTGCCCAGGCTGGCCTCAAATTTTGAATCCTCCTGCCTCAGCCTCCCGCATAGTTGGGATTACAGGGGTGCACCACCATACCATCTAGATATTTTCATTTCTGAGCCTTAGCTTCCTTACTTGTAACATTAGATAAACTTACACCATGTCTGGTGGAATCACTTCAGAATCAATGACCTTGGGTGGAGTTAGAGACATGGATGAAACAAGACCGGCCTTGTATGAGTACATAGTTGAGCTGGGCAATGGGTACCAGGTCATTATCTATACTGTTCTCCCTACTTTTGTGTCTGACATTTTCTGTGATAAAATGTTAACGTAAAAATGGAGTAGGTGGGGTGTTATTAACATTTCTTAGGTTAGCGGTGAGGATGGCATGAGTTGTAAAGGGCTTAAGTACAGGGCCTGGCATGTGGGAGGGATTCTCAGCTGTGCAAGGAATTGGTGCTGTTTCTCCCCTTGACACACTTGGAAACTGCTGTCCCCTCCATTTGTTTTTTGCCCATGGTCCTATGGGGACAGTGAGAGAGTCAGGCTTTGAACTGAGTGTCGACTGCCTTCAGAGCCCAGCACCAGCAGTCTAGCTGTACAGCGTCCGGGGGACATGGCCTGGGCAGTTGTCAAGTCTCTTACTCATGGTCAGACCAGATGCTACTTATGTGAGGCAGCACTATGAGGGACAGCTGAGTGTTGGCTCCTGGCAGCAGAGGGAATGGGGTGCCCTGGGATGGGATTGTCTCCCCACACCACTACTTTGGAGATCCCTAATTTCAGGAGCGCTGGATCAGGGAGGCTCCTGTCCAGGCTTTTTGCCTGCACCCTTAGCAGCGAACGCTGACCAGTTGCTGATGGTTACAGTGGCACCTGCAAACTGGGGACAAAGCTGAGCAGAAAGCAGGCTATACAGAATGTCAGGAGATGGGAAAGTGCCATGGCCCCATGGCTGACCATCCTTCAAGCCATGGCTGCTGATGCTCTTCTTGTTCATTGTTGTCTTGCCCTGGAGCCCTAAAGCACAGGTGGGCCGAGGGAACATCGGAGAAGGGATAGAGCAGGAGAGCTTAGCAGGTGTTAACCCAGAAAAGTGTTGCTTACACTGATCATTTTGCCATATATCATCTACCATGGTGACTAAGAGTGGCTCTTGTGTTCTGCCTGTTCATATTAAGTGTGTGTGTATGTGTGTGAAAGAGAGAAAGAGAGTGGAGATGGGGAAGGGAGAAAGGAGAGGATAGAATATATAAAATGCTTTGATGGCACCTACCTGTAGTCCCAGGACAGAGGCAGAGGCAGAAGGATCACTTTAATCCCAGAGTTCAGGTCCAGCCTGGGCAACATAGCAAGACCCAGTCTCAAAAAACAAAAACAATAAAATGCTTCAGACCCTGTTGCCTGAGTGAACATCGCTATACTCTAGGGTACAGGTCTTAAGGGGAAGCATCAAATCTTTCTGCAGACCTTTCTCTCTCTCTCAGCTGGGTCCCAGGGACCCAAAGAGTTGGCCAATGCAATTTAAGGAGAATTTGTCTCCTGTTGTCAGTCCTCTTTGTAACTTGCTCCTGAGGGAAACAAGACTTAATGCCACCGTGTCAGTTCATCCAAGACCCCTGAGGTAGGATCACCCTGTCCCATGACCGCCAGAGGGCTTAGCCCCTCTCTAAGGCAGGACCTGGGCAGTGACCATCTGAGGGGGTGGGGCTGGGAATTAGAGGAGGACATTTTTTACTCTGAGGGAGTCAAATACATTTATTTGCCTTTGGAGTCTGTAGAGCCTTTTTTCTCTTAATCCTTGTGACAACTTTGTGAGGTAGGCATTAGATACACTTTTGCCAAATAGTACCTCAATCCCTTAAGCTTGAGTTTCATTTCCTTTGTGAAGTTAGAATAAACTTGATTTGATTCCGTGATCACTGCTGGAAGAAATCGTCTTTTCTCTGCCTAATTTCATGGCTTACACCTGATTTATCTACACTGTGCAAGCTCAGGAATCCCCTGCCTGCCTCAGCGCCCTGTGGTCGTCCTTCTCACTGCCCGCCACCTCTTGTCTTGCCAAGGCTCCAGTTACCTCCGCATCTCCTCCCGCATCACTAGCCTCTCATCTTAGTTGCCCCCATGCTACTGCCTGCCTCTAGAGCTATACCCCGGTGTGCATCCTACTCCCTCCCAGCCCTGTCCCCAGCCCAGCTGGCCCCCAGCTGCCTCCCTGGGCCAGGCTGGCATTCCTCCCAAAGCTGACTGACCTTCCTCTCCAGCCCCTGTGACTCATGTCACCTGAGCAGGCCTTTGTTCTCCCTGTGGGGTAAGCAGAGCAAACAGCTCTAGAATAGCCTGGGCAGGGCCTTGTGGTTTATTAGGACATCCAACCTCCCAAGACCCAGGGGCCTGCCTTAGGCCCCAAGGGGATGGGAGACCTTAGGGCCCATATTCTCTATGAGTGTCTTTGACTTTGGAGTTTTGAATTCCTGTTGGGCTAAATAGGCTTTATAGGTTGTCCCTAAGGCCTAACTATGTTGCTATAGGAAGCCAGCATGTTCTAGGTTCCAAATGGCTGGCTTTCCAAAGAGCATACCCTCCCCGTGTAGCTCTGACTTCCTCATTATCAACACTTCTAACTTCTCCTATAATTAAAAAAAAAAAAAAAAAAAAATCACTTGATTCCACACCAGCCTCCTGGAAGAGGTATTATTGTCTCCATTTTGGAGCCAAGGAAAATGAAGCTCAGAAATGAAGAAACTTGGCTGAGATCCCCTAGACAGTAACTGGCCCACCCAGGTCTGCCCACCTCCAAAGCCATGTTTTCCATTTGCCGGGGACAGGTACTGTCCTGGGCGCTGACCTGGGACCTCTCATTTCAGGAGAGCCGGATCTATGCAGTGGCCACTTCGGGCATGCAGCTGTCAGATGTGTCTTCCCGGAGTCACGTTGCCTGCTGTGGTGAGTCCAAGCAAGGCTCAAAGGGCTTGAATGCCACTGGTGGGCAGAGTGGGCAAGTAGGGAGGTGGAGACTGAGCAATATCCAGGGTCGGGATGGCCTGGTGCCAGTGCCCGTCCCCAGCAGGAGCAGTTCAGGTGCGGTCCCACGGCCCGGGCTGTGCAAGAGGGAAAAGAAGTTATGCAGGTTCAGCCCTGACTGCAGGCTCCAAAGTTACTGGCCAGCCCCAGCATGCCCACAGTGATCGGAGCCATGGACACATGGCAAGAGTGGGACACGTGCAAACCATGTGGAGGGGTAAATGATTAAAGGGCAAGAATTTTGGATTTCATTGTGGTAGGTCCTCTTCTGTGTGGTCCCCAAAGGAAGTCAAGGAGAACGGAAAGGAGGAAGATGCCTCCCCAACATACCTCTCTGCCACCTTAGTTCATCCCATCCCTCTTTTCCCCCAGCTTCAAGCCCTCCTGCCCTTGCATCCCCTGTGTCTTTCTCTGGCCTTGTCTACAAGAATGTCACTGTGCCTGTCTACACAGCACTGAAAGGGGTAAGAAAGGACTATGCAAAGAAGGGACATCCCCATCAGTAGAGCCCCTGGGCTTGGCATGCAGGGACTTGGGGGGGGAGAGTGTTGAGGGCCAGAAACCTGCATGCAGTGACCTTGAATAGTGAACTCAACCCATCATATGTCATTTTGATTTGTTATTTATAATTCTGATTATAAGAATTCTGCATTTATAAAAATCTGAGCCAGTAAGAATGTGGCAAAACAAGAAGTTAAAGGTTAGACCTCTGCTTGCTCCAATTCCACTCCCATCTTTTCTCGTGTCTTTCTCACTTCCCAGGTCCCAGAGGGCAGTGGTCCCAGAGGGCAGTTCTCCTTCGAGAACTGGTTATATATGTTTACACACACTCCCATGACGCTGCTAACATTGCTACTCATTTTAAGCAAAAATCAGATGTACTGCAACAGGATGCTTCCATACACATTTTGTCTTTTTGTTATTTGTTTTTGAATCATAATAAAAAGTTTGATAAAACTTCTGATGGAAGAATAAAAAAATGAAGTTTCCTGTCATAGTTATTTTTAATTCCTAACCCTAGAGAGAACTATCATTCATGGTTTGGTGTTTATTCTTTTGTGCCCTCTGCTGCATTTATTTACAGATGCACTTATAAATATGTACGTGCCCTCTCTTTCTCTCTCCCTCTTTTCCTCTCTCCTCATTCTTTCACACATGCACGCCTACATATGCTCACAAAGGGTACATGATACACATCATTCTATGCCTCTATTGCTCTCTTGACATAGATATCCTTGTACTTAAATATACAGAATTCTAAAGGTGGAATCTCTGGGCAGATTATATGAGTGTTTTAGGTGTTGACAGGTACTGCTACATTATTTTCTTAAAAATGCCTTATGGGCTGGGAGTGCCACAGAGCACTTGCCCAGCCATGTGTAAAGCCCTGCGTTTGATCCCTAGCACCACACACACACACACACACACACACACACACACACACACAAATAGACTTTGTCACGCTGGAGTATTCCAACCTCCTGCTATTTCCCCAAACTTTCACCAACATTGAGATAAATAATCAGTCTTTTTAAATGTTTGCCTTTCAAGAAGATCTCTCACTCCTGTTCCTCACTCCACCTGACCTGTGGCATGGCTTTCTCTCCCCCTGGTGGAGGGAGCGAGGGACACAGCAGGCAGGGTGCAGTCTGGATGGGATAGCTCTTTGGGGACCATAGAAGATGATGTATATAGGAGGGAGGAACGTCATGGAGGTAAGAACATGAGTGAAGTCAGGAAGGAACCTGACTGTTTGGGACAGTTGTCTTTTCAGTGATGAGCGAATGGCCCCTGTGTTGCCCCAGACAGGCTGTGAAGGCCATGCCTGGGCACTTGGAATCCAAGTATAAGCTGTTGGGTAAGAAAGGCTTGTTTTGTAGCCTGAGCTTCAGTCGGGAAGGGGACTTGTCTTGCAGAGAGCCATGCAGATCAGCAATGTGCCCTTCGCTGACGACTCCTCTGGGTCTGATGATGACTGCAGCTCTCAGGCCAGTTTCCGAATATCAGTCCCTTGTTCTGAGTGTAGGAAGACCAGCGGACTAGGCAGTCCCCGGGCCATCAAGAGAGGTACAGAGAAGGGGGGCAGGAGGGTCCCCTCACCCCTTTCCATGGGATTTGTCCATGGGGGACCTTACTTGATCTGTACTTGGGATCCCCAACAGCTCTACCCTTAGCCCCAGACTGGAGGTCCCAGGTCTGTGATGAAGACCCTGTAGCCCCTGGGCCATGTGAGTTGGGAGGTGTAGGACCCAGACCTTGATTCCTCTTCTGGTGGCCAGGGGTCTCCATGTCTTCACTGAGCTCCGAGGGTGACTACGCCATTCCCCCTGATGCCTGTTCGCTGGACAGTGACTACTCAGAGCCTGAGCACAAACTTCAACGCACCTCGTCCTACTCCACCGATGGGCTGGGCCTAGGCGGGGTGAGCAACAGAGGGCACAGTGGGACAGACCTACAGCAGAGGCTGCCTGGGCTAAGTGGGTTAGGCCCCTGGGTTGGTACAGAGAGGGAGGCAATCCTGGAGAGTGGGCTGGGGGTGTCCACTGATGAAAGCAGATGCACACAGACCCCAGGCTCGGGGGAGGGGGGAAGGAGGAGCGTAGAGAGCTCCTTGGTACCCTGTGAGGGGTTCGCACCTGTTGCTTTATCTCCACACTGACCCTCGGATGCTGACGTGAGCTGTCAGATTGTGCTTTACAGGCATAGTCTTCAGTGCTCACACTTCACATCTCATTTGTCCTTGTAGTCCTCTTGGGATTAGTGCCCTGTTTTGGGGTTATTACCCTGTCTTAGGGATGAGACACTTAAGGTTCCGACTTGCACTACATGCCAGGGCCAGCAGTGAATCCAGACCTAATTCCCCAGCCCTGGCTCCACTCTACTCCACAAACCCTCTACCCTGGCCTGTGCCCACTGTTCCCCAGGCCAGCCTGACCTCTCATGCCATGCCGCCTAGAATGACCTTCCTCCTCAGCATTTTTTTTAAATACTTATTTTTTAGTTGTAGTTGGACACAGCACCTTTATTTTATTTATTTTTATGTAGTGCTGAGGATCGAACCCAGGGCCTCGAATGTGCTAGGTGAGGGCTCTACTGCTGAGCCACAACCCCAGCCCTCTCAGCCTCCCAAATTCTTTGAAGAATTTCATCATTCTTCCAGAGACCTGTTCAGGTCTGTTTTTTTCCTGAAGCTCTTCCTAGCCGCCCTCTTGCCTGAGCCCCTGATCTGCCACCTTCTCATGGCAGACCAGGAGTTATCTTCCCCAGCCATGTGGGAGCCCTCCCCGCAGGACCATCCTGGCTTTTCTACTCCTCTCTGAACCCCCAACAGGGTATGGTGCCCAGAAAATAAATACAAGGAATAGGCACCTAATAAGTTTTTAAAAAATTGCCAGGTGCAGTGGCACACACCTGTAATCTCAGCGGCTTGGGAGATCAGCTGAGGCAGGAGGATGGTGAATTCCAAGCCAACCTCAGCAAAAAGTGAGGTGTTAAGCAACTCAGTGAGACCCTATCTCTAAATAAATTGCAAAAAGGGCTGGGGATGTGGCTCAATGGTCAAGTGCCCCTGAGTTCAATCCACAGTACCAAAAAAAAAAAAAAAAAAAAAAAGTTTTTTAAAAATTGATGGCAAAGCAGTGATTCAGCTGGACCATTTTGACTTGTGTGATGTAGAGCCCCAAGTGATTTCCCCTTTCTGTCTCCCTCTCCCTCTCTGCTCTCTCACCCCTCAGGAGTCACTGGAGAAGTCAGGCTACCTGCTGAAAATGGGAAGCCGGGTGAAGACATGGAAGAGGCGCTGGTTTGTCCTGAGACAGGGACAAATTCTGTACTACAAGTCCCCGGTGAGACCCCTCCTCCAGCACTGGAGGTAGAAGGATCCCAGTCCAGACTCAGAACTGTATGATAAGGACTGAAAGAAAGGCAGTGTGTTCAAGGCCAGAGCACAGAGATCTGACAGGCAGTGAGAGGCACTCAAAGCTTTGAGACACACAGGGGACCATGAGGCTGGGCATGGCTTCTCACAATGAAATAAGGCACAAGACAGTCAAGGCAGCCCCTGGCCAGCTGGCTTGGGAATTTCTTCTTCCTTCAGAAGCTGATTGCTTCTCATGTTTAGTCCTATAAAAAGATTTGTTCCTAGGCTGCCCTCACTTCATCTGGATTATTCTAACAGACAACCCATTACCTTCTCCACCTCTTCCTTCCATTGTCTGGAATTAAGGAGCCTTGATGTTGGGAACTAGTTTGACAGAACCTCCCTAGAGAACTAATTTTAATTATTGAAGAGGGAAAATCGGCCTTGCTCTTGTGTAGATCCCCTTTGATTGGTAGTGGCTGTCACCAACTCCATACTCTCTTTTAAGGATTCTGGGTCTATATTTCTCTATGATAAGCATTCCATGATTGATTGACTGATGTCTGCAGTGATAATGGAAAGAATAATAGTAATGATATATATGCCACTTATTTGCCATATTTCATATAAGAATATAGTGAAAAGTTTTGTTTTTGTTTAAGATGGGGTCTTATTATGCTACCAAATCTGGCCTTGAATACTTAAGTTTAAGAGATCCTCCTGTCTCAGCCTCCCAAGTAGCTGGGACTACAGGTCTACACCACCACACCCACTTTAACAAAAAGAATTTATAGGGACTTTTTCATTGAATAATAATTTGGTAACTTCTGACCCAATTTTAAAGGCTTACTCAGTCTTTATTGAGGCTTGTATTGGAAAGACCCATTCTTCTAAGTATAGCTTCATTTAGCTAGAACCAGAATCTAGAACAAGTTACCCATCATACCATACCAGGAAAGCTTGGGAATAACTTTTCCCGTTGCCTTTGACCTGGAGTAAGATATGAGGGTAAATGATGCTCTGAGAAGCCTCCAATGCTTTGCTCTCTGTTCCTTTCTTTACAGAGTGATGTCATTCGGAAACCTCAAGGTCAAGTGGATCTGAACTCCCATTGCCAAATTGTTCGAGGGGAGGGTGCACAGACATTCCAGGTGAACCTGATCAGAGCAGTTGGTATTTTAGGCAGATCAGATGCTAGGTTTGAATATGACTATGTTTGAGACAAAGATGGGGCAAAAAGAACATGAATGAAAAACTTAACATCAACATTAGGATGTTGTACTACATTGTGAATATAAGGAAGGAAGAGGAGACAATGTGAAATGGAGTGAAGGTAGGAAAGATAGGGAGGAAAAGAAGGAAGGGAGCAACAGGGTAGGAATAAGGAAGATCCAGTGAATTCAGGGTCTTGTGTCATCTCAGAGCTTGTCTTGCTGCCTCTGGCCCCAATCCTTTGCCCTCCACAGCTTATCTCAGAGAAGAAGACCTACTACCTGACAGCAGATTCACCCAGCCTGCTGGAGGAGTGGATACGGGTCCTACAGAACTTGTTGAAGGTACAGGCCACCGGGCCTCCAGCCCTGCCTCAGGGTGGCACCAAGCCCACTGTGAAGGGCTGGCTGACCAAGGTATGAGGGAGCTGAGGGGAGGAACCTCCTGAGTCCGGGAGCCAGGAGTGGGAGGGGCAAAGAGTGGTGGGCTCCCTCCTTTCCCACAGTTCCTAAATCCAGGGGCTTCTCATGTAACTAGCTGGTTGACCCTCAAACATGGTCTAACAACATAAGGTGATGGTGATGGTATCTAGGAAGCAGAGCTAAGGATTGTTAGAACAAGTATTCCCAATACAGGAAGGAAAGCAATGGTTTTACCCCATTTTGAGGTCATTAGGGGTTGCCCCCACATTGTATCCACCATGCCTCAGAATTAACAGTGTCAAGAAGAGACTTGGGCAGATTGGGAATAGCCAGTCATCCAAAGACTACAGTGTCCTAGGCCTGCCCTAAAGACATTTTAGTTAGGGCTCTTCTGGTTGCAGGGAACAGAGAACCATTTGCTAACCCATGGAAAGGGAAGTTAACAAGGTAGCACTTAGTGACAACAGACACCCCAGAGCCAGAGCAGCTGTGCTCAGCAGTCTCAGGGGTTATGGGCTCTCAGCCTCTGCTTCCCCCTTCAGGCTGTGTTGATGCCATTCTCTGCATCTGGGTAGTTTCTGTTCCCTCATGATCTGTGGTCACCCAAGGGTTTCAGCCTGCCTTGGCTCTTACCTTCCTTGCATCCTAACAACCCTCGCCTCTGCCAACTAGCAAGTTCTTCCTGTGTTCACATTCCTGGAAGGGATATCTGATTGTCCTGGTATCCATCTTTTTTTTTTCTTTAAGATTTTGATGGACCTTTATTTTATTAATTTATTTATATGTGGTGCTGAGAATCGAACCCAGTGCCTCACACATGCTAGGCAAGCGCGCTGCCATGTGCCACAACCCCAGCCCCTAGGTATCCATCTTTTAATGGTAGGTCATAGGTCACTGAATAGCCCAAGGAAGGCTGGTGTACACATCATGGTCTTTTCTCTGAAAGGGGTTCTATTAGTAGGGAGTCTGACTGGCATTTCCACTAAGGACCTGAGTCTTCTCTTTGGCTTCTTTTTGCCAGTCCTGGATTTTTTTCTGGGGCCCTCTGGTTCTAATAATGCTAGTTCATTTCTGTCCTCCAGGTAAAACATGGCCACTCCAAGCTAGTCTGGTGTGCTCTTGTTGGGAAAACCTTCTACTATTACCGGAGCCATGAGGATAAGGTACCTCAACTTCCTGACAGCAACTATTCCCCCAAGCCACATTGCTGTGGCTCCATGTCCTGATGTCAGTCCCCATCTTTACCCTGTACCCAACCAAACCCACAACTAGTACAACAGCCAGCTGGCTAGATCTCTCCAGAGCATGCAGCCAGCATGTATAACCTGTGTGGTCTATTGGTTATTCTCAAATAAGCCTCATTCTGCTCCCAGCCTGGCTGCAATGCTATAGCTTCCAGCTTCCCATCCTGTCGTCTGTCCACATCCAAGACTCCCACCCTCTAGAGCTTAAGTATTCAGAGAGAGGAAATTCCCTCATCCCCCTGGTTCTCCCACTCATGGACGGCTCATATCTACAGCGACCCCTGGGTCGTCTGCCTGTGCGGGATGCACGCATAGAAGAAGTAGATCGATCCTGTGACTCAGATGAGGACTATGAGGCTGGAGGAACCAGACGGTTACTTTCCTCCCACTGTACGCTGGTGATCCATCCTCCAGAGCACAGTCCTACCTACCTGCTCATTGGTACCAAGCATGAAAAGGTAAGGTAGGAGTTGGGCCTTTGTGGCCAAACTTGGACTTGTGATTTTGATCTTCCTTTCTTTCTTTCTCTTTTTTTTTTAATGTATGGACCTTTATTTTATTCATTTATTTATATGTGGTGCTGAGAATCAAACCCAGTGCCTCACACATGCTAGGCAAGCACTCTACCACTGAGCCACAGCCTCAGCCCTTCCTTTCTCTTTCGCCTGAGCTTCCCTAAATTTATTTCCCTCTTTTAATACTTTGGCAATTAATATTCTCTGAATGAGAATATAGCTTTCCATTGAATTCATTCCCAGTGATCAGCATCTTCCCTGGGGCCATGAGATAGAACCAACTTGGAAATAGGTCCCTGTTCACCTGATCCCTAATCTTTCCCCTTAGAAACTGGTAACCTTGACTCTTGCCAACCACAGTGGCTGAATCCCACTGTGGGAATCCTCTTTGGAACTTTTACCTCCACTCTTTCACTCCCCCACATCCAATGGCTTCCCACCTTCTTCCAGGATACATGGCTTTACCACCTCACAGTGGCTGCAGGTGGCAGCAGTGCCAAGGTAGGCACTGCCTATGAGCAGCTCATTGGGAAACTGATGGATGGTGAGGGAGACCCAGGTAAGGTAAGGGTGGCCATTGTGGTGTGGGTTGGAGGGTGGAGGCTAGGTGCTTATTGGTCAGGAACCCAAAGAAAGCACTGTGGTCCCCTGGAGCTGTGCTAAATATAACTAATTCAGAACAGGAGTCCCCATCCTACTTTTCAGTGCCCCTATGTCTCTGTCTAAGACACTCGGGGGGAGTTTGTCTGGGAAGCAGACTGTTCAGTGATCTGGGTAAATGTTTCACTCTTCAGACCACAGCTTTGCTGGCTGGGCAGAGGACTGAGGAAAGGAGGTAGCTGGTTAATCTATAGTTAGACTTTGTTAATTAATAATTTGAGCCTAAATTTGATCAGGCTAAACTAAGCCTGGGGCTGTTTAGGGGTCTTTATTTTGCTACTGAGTCTCAGGGTCCTCAGGAACTAACCAAGGCACACACCACGCACAGCCTTTTACTGCTACTGTGAGGCTTGTGTAATGTGTGTGCTCCTGCAGCCAATTCTGCACCATAAGGCAGAGACCTGCCCTCACATACACTTACCCTCAGGTGCATCCCAGCCATGCACACTCACCCTTCTTGCAGTTCTGTAGCAAAGTGCTGACTGCCTTCCTGTATGGCCACACTTGTGAGTGTGTGAATGCAGTGCACCCCTGCATACCCTGTAGTCTGTGACTGATAAACTCAGAACCACCCATGTTTCCCAGAGAGTTAAATTATTGTCTTCCTCACAAACTAAAGTTGGGGCTGGGAGGGTGGGAGGTGAGTTCCTTCCTCAGTAGTAACTGTACTGCTTTCTGGTGCTGTGCTTTGGACAGATTCCCCACTCTGGAGGCACCCTATGCTGTGCTATAGCAAAGATGGGCTGTGTACCTCCCTCACCACCCTGCCCTCTGAGGCTCTGCAGACAGAGGCTCTCAAGCTCTTCAAGGTAAAGTAAGAGCATAGCCCAGGCCCATCAACCAGTGGTGTCCACACTGCATGCCCAGGCTTGGCCTGGAGCAGCCTAAGCCTACTGCTGTGATAACATGGGTGGAGGAGATAGGGTAGCCCACAGGGGGATCCAGAGAGAAAGGGAAAGAAGGTCCCACAAGGTCCCCCAATGGCTTCCTTTACGGCAACCTTCCTTTATGGCAGAGGGAAGCTCTAGGACTTTGAGAAATGCCAGTGAAAACTCTCTCTTGATGAAGATGCCCTCCTATAGTCCACAGTAGGAAGGGCCAGGTTTACATTGCTTCTGGACTTCAGAGACTTTGACCTATTTAAAAATGTTCTTTGTGCTCATCTGAATTTTTTTAATATTTATTTTTTAGTTATAGGTGTACACAATACTTTTATTTTATCTTTGTGTGGTGCTGAAGATCGAACCCAGTGCCCCATGCATGCTAGGCAAGCACTCGACCTCTGAGCCACAACCCCAGCCCCGCTTATCTGAATTTTTAAATGAATTTTCTTATGTAAGCTAACTTTGTCTTGCTTGTATAATGGAAACCTTTAAAGAAGGAAAGATTCATTCCGTGAGATAAAGTGGTACACACCTGTCATCCCAACAATTTGGGAGGCTGAAGCAGAAGGATCATAAGTTCAAGGCCAGCCTCAACAACTTAATGAGACCCTGTCTCAAAAGTAAAAAATAAAAAGGTTTGCGGATATAGTTCAGTGGAAAAGCAGTCCTGGATTCAATCCCTAGTACCAAAAAAAAAAAAAAAAAAAAAGGAATGATTCTATCCCAGAATAGCCACTTCAGCATAGATGCTTGTAAGCAGTAATAATGCTCTTTCCTAGAAAGAGCTGTCTGTGGTGAATTTGAGCCTCCCTTAGGGCTCTGCTTGGGGTCAGAGACACCATTGCACTGTCAGAACAATAATCATGGTGCTGTCTCTGCCTGTACCACTGTTGTTCCCCTCCCAGTCCTGCCAGCTCTTCATCAATGTGCCCGTAGAGGCTGCCTCAGTGGACTACCACGTGTCCCTGGCCCAGACAGCACTGCAGGTGTGCCTGGTTCACCCTGAGCTGCAGAGCGAGATCTACTGCCAACTCATGAAGCAGACCAGCTGCCGCCCACCTCAGAAGTACTCCCTCATGCAGGTTAGCATTCCCTGGGGATGGAACATCTGAACAGAATCACTGGCAAGGACTGCCCAGGAAGAAAAAAAGTGGAAGGTGATGGGCAAATTGTGCTCTGTGCCAAGCGAGCAAACAGCCTCCATGCTCTGAGCTGCCTCAGTACAGCTTATCTGTCTGTGCATTGTCAGATTGTGTGATCACCATTCTGAACAAAGCCTGACCAAGCTGGCCAACCCGGTTCCCACAGAAGGTTGGGGGGTTCTGGTGTGGGGAAAGAGTGTCAAACGTTTTGCAGCTTGGAACTGCAAGGCAGGGGCTCTGCAGACCCAGCACACAGCCCACCCTATGTGTCCCCTGGCAGTGTTGGCAGCTCCTGGCTCTGTGTGCCCCACTTTTCCTGCCTCAGCATCATTTCCTCTGGTATGTTAAGCAGCAGCTCCAACGCCATGCAGATCCCAGGTGAGTAGATGTGTTTCTGCTGCCACTACTGATTGCGGTATGATTAAGAGGGATGATGGGGAGACTAGATAGAGCAGATTGTTCCTCCCCTCCAAGATTTGCTCAGGATTGAGAGATGTTGTCCATTATCTTGTGCAAACAGGCACATGGAGATCTGGGCATGCTTAGGCTTCTCTGCACACCAGTCCATGTGTTTTGGGGTGTTTTGTAGGGTAGTTCATGTGAAACCATATTGCCCCTAAGTTGTCCCCAAATATTCACTGTTTCTATGTTGTTCTGGCTTCTGCAAGAAAACATGCATGCTAGCAGTCTACCACAGATAGGTTATGAATGACAAATTAATACTCTAGTCTTAAGGGCTTTTCCTACAACCTACCCCTGCTAGCTAAATTGGGTAGGCACCTGGGTGCCACAGAGGCAGGGATGATCAGAGTGCCTAGTGTTCTCATCCTCCTGGCTTTTTAGAAATGAAACTGGCCAGTATGCCACCTACTGTCAGCGGGCAGTGGAGCGAACTCTGCAGTCAGGGGAGCGGGAAGCCAGACCATCACGCATGGAAGTGGTGTCCATCTTGCTGCGAAACCCCTTCCACCACTCCTTGCCCTTCAGCATCCCTGTGCACTTTGCCAACGGGACTTACCAGGTGAGGAAACTGGCTGAGCTTTCTGACCCAAGTGTTCTTACTGTCTAGAGGAAACATCTCTGGCCCAGGTGAGTGCCAAGCCTCTGTGGGCTTTCAGATTCTTAACAGGGAAACCAGAAAAAAGGATGAGCTTAGAATTTGGCACGGGAGGGGGCATTAATTCATGTGTTTAGGGAGAAAGGAGTTTGAATCACAGAAGCACTTCATTGTGCGGTTCTCTGGAAGTAGATCTCTTTAACTATCACATGAACAGGGAAGCTGACATATGACTAGGAAAGTGGCATGAGACTGAAGCCCCAAGAGTGACAGTAAAGAAGGGACCAAGCTTGTCTGTTCTGGTTTACAGTGGGCAGGCTCAGCTTCCTTCCCCTGACCTTCTGTGTCTGAATATGGAAACCATCTTGCCTGGTTCTCTTGCATTCACCCTTGCTCCTCTCCACCTGCTATAGAAAGCCTCCACAAGCCTACTGAGCTCAGAGTGCCTCCCCTCCTCCACAGGTGGTTGGTTTTGATGGCTCCTCCACAGTTGATGAGTTCCTGCAGCGGCTGAATCAGGAGACGGGCATGAGGAAATCATCCCACTCTGGCTTTGCTCTCTTCACCGATGATCCTTCTGGCAGGGATCTGGAACACTGCCTGCAGGGGAGTGTCAAGGTGACAGCCTCCCCACTTAGCCACCCCAGACTCAGGAATACTAGTGCCATCCAGTGGGCACCCGACTATTCAGTAGCACATTTGGTGCTGAGCCCAAGGTACTTCCTGGGCCAGCATTTCTGTGCTAGTCTAAAATGTAGCTGTGTGGGCAGAACAAAAATGCATGTACCCTCATCTCTGGGGACAAGATCTCCATACCCTGCCTCCATCCAGTGGCCCTGCAGCATCCAGGGGAAAGAGCCTCTTCTCAGCTTGGTAAAGGGGCAGGAAAGCTCTGCTGAGCCTACATCGGCCCACTCATAGGCAGAGAACTGTATGCCTGGACCCACTGTGTGCCATCTTATGCACCAGGACCTATGCTATGCTTATAGTTGTTTTATTTATTTATTTATTTTAAATTAAATAATTAATTAATTTAAAATAAGTAGGGATTGCTTTACTACTAAGCTACATCCCCAGCCCCTAGCTTATAGGTTTTAACAAAGTAGATCCTTCTTGTACCTGTGTTATTAGAGGCCCTTAAATGGGATTGAAGACCAATCTGTATTATGGTCTAGAATTAGAATGACAGTCTTAGTGTGTATGGGAATGTGCTGCAGCACTTGATGAGTATATTTGGCTCCAGAATCTGTCTTTACAACAGCAGGACAAGGGCTTCTAATCTTACCACTTCCAGGAAAAAAATATGCCAGATATCTTCCTCATAAGTGTCTGAAGGCCATTGGGTATATTTGTTGAAAAGAATGGCAGTCGGTGGAATGGAAAAGGAGCCAGTGAGATGAGGCCACAGGTTTCAGGGTCCCTGCGTAGCCTCCAGGAAGCCCCCTCGACTATGAAGGCAGTGGGACAGCGTTCCTTGCTTTGCTGCTCACCATGCCCAGGGCACGTTGTACCTCCCCATCCATTTGTGAGGGAGTGGCAGCACTGCAGGTCCTGGGAGTATGAGGCCCCACACAGGTCAGTCACCTGATGGGAGCACTCACAGTTCTGCCTAAGTACAGGCAACCAGGGCTGGACCTTTTTGCCCTCACAAGGGGCTTCTTTGACTTTCCTCTTTTGCCTCTTCAAGATCTGTGATGCCATCTCCAAGTGGGAACAAGCCCTGAAGGAGCTGCACCCTGGAAAATCTGAGGGTGGGACACGCGTTGTGAAGCTGATGTACAAGAACAGGTCCTGAGCACTGCCTGTGGGAAAACATGAGGACTGCCAGTGGGGGCCAGCTCATCACCTCCTCAGCTGGATGGCCTGTCCTAGACAGGCAGACGGGCCCACAGATCCAACCCTGCCTGATGGGCATTAGCTGAGGTGCAGGCCGGCGCTGCTCCTACTCCTGAGACATTGGGCAGCTCAGGCTTTGTCAGCCAGGCAAATAAGTTCCATTAGTCTCCTGGAATCTTAACTCATCCAACACCCTAATAAACACTGATTCCAGGTGCTAGATTCCTGTCACCAAATCCATTAAGTCTAATGGTATATTCAGAATTAGCCACATCCTGCTGTGGTTATAAGATCTGCATGGTCCTGCATCTGCTCTGTCATACCTGATTACGTTTCTGGGGCAATAGGAAATAGTATAAAGAATTATGGGGGTTTTGTTTGTTTTGGAAATCAAGATAAAAAGATCCAGAGAAAGCCTCATCCCTGATTGGGATCCCAGCTGAAACTTGGCTTCTCACTCTTTTCCCTCTAGGCTGTACTTTCGGAGTCAAGTCAAAGGGGAGACAGAGCGAGAGCGACTGTTGCTTGCCTTCCAAACCAGTGGAGAGATAGTGGCAGGGAGATTTCCTGTCAATAAAGAACTGGCTCTTGAGATGGCGGCCCTGATGGCCCAGGTATGGTTCTGTCTGTTCAGGAAATATAAGGGTCAGGAGGCCATCTTGGGACTCCCAGGTGGAATCTCCAAGGCAGGTGGAATCACCATGCAGCCTGAAATATTAGAGATTTCTGCAGATCTGGAGGTGCTCAGAAGAGGGCAGCATGCTGTCCCGGGTACAGACAACAGACAGCTTACCCACTGCAGACGGACTACAGTCCAGAATGCTGGACTGGGAATTCAAAACAGGGGTTTGAGTCCTAGCCATGTTCCCATGTGAAATGTTGGCCAAGACATGTCATTTGTCTATGCTTTAGTTTCCTACTCTGTATACTAAAAACAAAATACTTCCCTTCCTGCATCCACAGGGTTGTACTACTAAGTATGATGCTTAGATAACAAATATCTCATAATGTATGAGATAAAATGTATAAAGCATCCAACATTATAAGTAGAATTAGGAAGACCATACATTCAAACTTTTGACTCTCCTTCCTATTACCTGTAGGAGCCATCTTGCCAGAGGTATGTGGGATACCTCCATGGTCCCCATAAGAAAAAGGCTGGATCAACATGCTGGAAAGGAAGGGGAAATAATTGTTGATATTTATAAGTATTAACATCAACATGGATATCCTATAGTGGGCCCTATGCTAAGCATTTTGTATGTATTTTCCCACATAGTTCTCATTCCCACTTAGTTGAGGAAATTGAAGCTCAGAGTGTTTAACTTGATCAAGAACATAAAGCTCGAAATAACAGAACTGGGATTTGAGCTAGGTAGTCTGTCTTTCAGGATCTGTAGCATTGTCAATTCTATGGCCCATATTCTTTGATTAGAAACTAGAATTTCCACATAATTTCCCATGTCTGCCACTAATTAACTGTCTTTGGATAAGGTAATTACCTCAGCTGCAAAATGAAAGTTGGTCTAGACAATCTACAGTATTCTAGAACTCTAAGGTTATTTCTGTAGTGTTTATGAAACTTGAAATAAAGGTTCTGTTCACAAGTATTTTTTAATATCCAATCACACCCCACAAATAAACAGTGGTTTAGTTCACCTCTCCAAAAACATCCACCTGGCCCCATCTACCTCCAGACTCTTGTTAACTCCTGTTTTTTTGCTATAGGTAGAATATGGGGACTTGGAGAAGCCTATTCTGCCAGGCCCTGGGAGCACACCCCCTGCCAAGACTCATCATCTTCTCCAGCAAGTCCTAGATAGGTTCTACCCAAGGCGCTACAGACATGGGGCACCCCCTGAACAGCTGAGGTAGGTAGCCTGCAAGGTCTTGCAGGGAGGTATTGTGGGGAGGCCCCAGAGCTGTGATGAGACTTCATGGGCACTATTTCTCTCCATACACCCCAACAGGCATCTGACAGATATGCTGACCACAAAGTGGGCAGCACTGCAAGGCTGCTCCCCTCCTGAATGCATCCGCATCTACCTGACTGTGGCCCGGAAATGGCCTCTTTTTGGTGCTAAGCTTTTTGCTGCTCAGGTAAGTGCCAGTGGAAGCAGCCACATCCTCAGGAATATCCTAAATTTCTCCTGGAGCTGCACTCCCCATCTGGTCATGTTTGAGCCACTCCAGTCTACAACCCCTGCCTCCACACTACCAACCACAAGGGGTCACTTTCTCTCCACCTATTTCTGACCTACTCCAGGTTACCATGGTCCAGAGCACAGTTGTGATTCATAGCTTTATGAAAGTGTTTATTATAGACTTGTCAATGCTATTCCTGAAAGAGAAGAGGATCAACGAATTCACACACAAGGATTTCAACTTAAAATACTCCATTTTAAAGGAGTTTGAAAGAAACATGTATAACCTAAATAAATCTCTATTAGCTTAACATGGCACACAGGGGAATCAGACTACATAGGCAAGAGTTAATTTCACCTCTGCATGAAGGCCAGGAGGCCAGTAGTAATTTTAGTTGGAACTTTTCCTCACTAGGCATCTGGAGTACATGAATTTTATAGAAAACAGATATTATCCTGTAACCAGACATTATAATCAGACATTAAGCTGCTCATGTTTCTGCTCACTGAAGCCAGAGTTCAGAAAATGGATATTCACTCATTTATCCAACAAATATTATGAAGTTCCTACTATATCTAATGCTACTTGTTTAAGATTATAAGAACTGAACAAATCAGACAGCCCTTGCCTTCATGAAGCTTCCCATATAATGGGGGAGATGCACATTAACCAAATAATCATCTATATATTCATTTTTTGTCTTCTCCCGCATCGTACATATGCACACATGTATATTTATTTATTTAAATTTTATGGGGCTAGGGATTGAACCAGGGCCTTGAGTATGCTAGGCAGAGATTCTACCACTGAGCTACACCCTCAACCCCTATCATTCATATATATCATTAATTCATATATTTTCATATGTATATGATGATATATATATAATTTATGTATTTTTTTTTACAAGCGGTTACAGGGATATGAAGGAAAAGTATAGGGGTGTTATAAAGGCATCTATAAAGAGGCCCACTTGATCTTGGAAGTTGGGGAAAGCTTCAGAAAAGGTGACCTGTCCATCTCTCCCTCTCCTCCTAGCCTTTTGAGTAGGAAAGAAAAACCTTCTGAATCATCCCACTGCAGCCCTGGCAATAAAAATTCAGGAAATGTCCACTACATGTCATGTTCTCACTAGTAAGGCTTAAGCCTACAAGATTGCATCCTTGTTTTTCCATTCTTTTAAAGTCCTTAGGAAATTGGTTAAAGCAAGATGCACTTCAGCTGGGAAACACTGTGAACGGAATGCTACGTTTCTGAGATCTGAAACAGCCTGTTCCCCATGCAAAAGATAGGGCTGGCCTCTATTCTGCAGCCCAGAGCTTTCTGTCCAGTGTTTTGCAGCAGGATGATGTGATCCCATCCACCTCTGGGATCGTTAGTAGATGCCTCATGCCACAGACACTCTTGCCTGTTTATTAACGAATGCTATACAAATTATGTTTTCTGTGTTTTCCAAGATGAGGTTGAAAATTACTGCTTGGCAGATCCCTGGATGTACCTTTATCCTCAGAAAGTACTTAATGGTTCAAATTCTCTAACCCTGGATATTATGTCTGATGGGATTTTTCTGATCTGCAGCCTGCCAAGCTGTCTTCCAAGGAGAACACTCTGATATGGATTGCTGTGAATGAAGATGGTGTCAGCATCCTGGACCACCACACTATGGTATGGAAAGAGGAAAGGGTGGCTTTGATCCTTCCTCTTCCTCTTGTCTTCTCTCTGGATTCAAAGGTCTGAGTTAGATGACCATGGTTCCCTTACTCTCACCTCCTGTCCAAGCAGCACTGTCCTTTAGTCTAGACACAGCTTATAGATATTCAAGGTGTATAATTCCAAATCATGACCACTTCAAAGTTCTTCCTTCCTGTTTAAGTCTATCTGTGCCTAGAAGAGACAGGTGAAGGTTCCCCAGAACTCACTGGCTCCTTTCCACAGCAAGTGCACATCACTTACCCCTACTCTTCAGTGACAACCTTTGGTGGCTACAGGGATGACTTCATGCTTGTGATTAGAACCATTCCAGACCAGGGGTCTGGAAAAGCACACATTGAGAAATTGATCTTCCGGATGACTGCTCCTAAGGTGAGTGACTGCGGCTACAAAATTTTACTCTGGTCTTGTGGGATGTTTTAGCTTGGAGCTTAGAGAGGAAACTGGGGTCACCATAGAACCTAGAAGGCCCTGCCCCAGGTAAAATTTCAGGTCCTATATATAATCAGCTTCCCAGAGGGTTTAGGTAGCATTGTATCTTACTGTCATTGGTAAGCTAGTAGGTAGAGGTGCTATCAGGAGGGAACTAACTATGATCCAGCCACTACTATGCTCTTACTTTTGTAATTTTCACATACACCAGAACCATGCAGGCCTGAGTTGGTGCTCATTTGTCTGCCTTTCTACAGCTGGCCCTGGGGTAGGGCAGTGTCCTCTTGAAGGTGCTCTCATGTTCTCATTCTGCTGCCACAACACTAGCCACAAAGTGGGACAGTCTCTGCTATGCACCCTCTTCCTTGTGATCTCTAAGGCAACAAAAATACCTCTTTTGCTTTAAGGCACTATTCCTACTCAGTACAGGAAATATTGACCATCAAAAGTAACAGTTACAAAGGCTCATAAACCTGAGTTCTTTTTTTAAAAAAATATTTTTTAGTTGGTCAACACAATATCTTTATTTTATTGATGTGGTGCTGAGGATTGAACCTAGTGCCTCATGCATGCCAGGCGAGTGCTCTACCTCTGAGCCACAACCCCAGCCCCTCATAAACTTAAGTTCTGATTTATTATTCCTAACACCCTTCTGATAGTAACCAGAAACCCTGTTGATCCCACTCTTAATCCTCAAGTTGTAGTTTGCCAAATTCTACCTCCTTCTGATATCATCCCTGCTGAATGAGAGGATGTGTGACCTCTTCCCCAAGAAGGACCTCTTCCCTGGCCGTAGAGATAACCAGAGCAGAACATTAGCCCTCTTCTCAAGAGGGCACCACACATCTTGGAGGAACTCCAGACCATTCACTGGGTCCCTGAATCTCATAACGATCCCCTTTGGACACTTTCTTTTGGGTGGGTAGTTTGAGAGAGATGAGCTGAAGCCTGTGAACGTCATATACTCAATACAACAGCCAATTGAGAAAGCCAGCACTCAAAGGCTAGCTTAATTCTTTTGCTTCTTTGGCCCCCTTAGATTGCTGAAACTACCTTCATCATGGCCAGCTACATGAACCACTGCTCTACAACTGTGAACCCACCTGCCAACTCACCTGCAGCCCGCCAGCCATGGGAGCTAGATGGATGACAGTTCTTTGCTTCTGTTTCCTGTGCCACCAAGGGGCCAACATTGCTGTGAATATTTCTCCTACCCTCTCCCCACCACCTCTGGGATTAGAGATTTATATCCTAGGATATGGTACTACTGTGATGGGTCTAATAGAACTCCCTGCACACAGTTCTGTGAAATGTGTATTTCAGCGTCTATGAAGACTACTCTCTAGATGCCTTATAATATTTCAGAGCCCAGCTTTTACAAATCCAGACCCAGTATAGAAACCACTTATTCCCCACCACCACCACCCATAAGAATACTGACTCTGGATGCTATCTGATTCTAAACATAGACAGGGATGGCCCACTGTCCCAATGTTACTGAGGGTCACAGTGCTGTATTTGGGGCTTCTGCACTGATTCCTTCAGGGAAGATCATTGTTATATTGTATGTGATCTTTGTGTGGAGAATTATACTTGAAGTTTTCTGAAAAGAATAGGATAAAAATTTCCAATTTACCTGAATTCTGACAAAAGCCAAGAATTAAAACTGGACTTCCTTTTCCAGATGGAAATGGTGTTGGCAGGACTAGAGAAAAACAAATAGACTATCTTCCCCTCTACTGATGAGTAGGATCCACAGTGCTCCTTCTGAGGCAGCAGCTCCAAATTTTGCAGAATGAAACACTAACCCTGCTGCATTTCATGTTTTATGTACACTGGACTATAAACTGAACTGAGTACTACACACTGTCCAAGCAAGGACAGGAAAAGGTGGGTCCAGTCTGACTTCTGTCTCACTTCAGCACCTGGAAGGGACTCAGTGAAGGTTGTGCTCACTACTGAAGGAAAGGTAGCCATTATTCCCCACTCTTTGAAAGACCAAGCAAATGCTCTCCACTTTTAGCTACTGTGTGAGGCACTGAAGGCGAATCAGGAACAAAGAAGACCCTCAGTCTCCTCCAGGGCCTGGGTGTGCTTGAGACTTCTGGCAAACTTCTGCTGGAAATTAGTTGGAGACTCAGGGCATGTATGTAATGTCTGTCTTAGCCTAAAAGCATTAGGTATAAAAAGTAGAAAATTTTTTTACCTTTTGCCTTCTTGAGAACATCATAATCCCCCTCAACTCAAACATTCTAATTGAGTGCAGGGGAATGGTTTTTGTCTACATCTTTTCCACTGGGGTGGGGGAGTTCATACTCTGATTTTCCAACATCTGAGAAATGAAGTTTTATTTTATAACTCTAAGGTAGTCTTAACATTTTTTTCACAAAATGCTGAAAAATGTGGCTAGCAGAAACAACCCAAGAACCAAGCTTTTAGCCCCAGTGATGTGGGTATTGCACATGCAAAAACCATGAGACTGGAACTAATTTATCTGATCACTTCAGCTGTTGTTATGCTTTCCCTCTCAACCTTTAAACTAACAAAGCACAGTGAAGAAGGAAGAAAAAAAGAGGCATGAGAGTCTGTCTCTTTTTAATTTGACTTTGCAAGGCAGACAGTTTTATAGCTATTTCTATCCCTCCACCCACCACCACCTCCCAGGATTTGGGTGGGGGTCTAGCTGAGACATTTCTACCTCGAAAAAAATCACCTGACGTAGGCTCTTGGATAACTCTTCCAAGGCTGAGTTATCTCTGCTTTTATATCCTGAGTGTCTCTAAGGCCAATGAAGATATTAGCTAACTAGCGCATTTAAAAAAAAAAAATAGAGCTCTAAAGAAAGTGTAAGTGCCATTATGTTCATATTGAATCTAGGAGTCAAACTACTTCCCTCACCATCTTTCCTACTTCCTGACTCTTAGGAATCTTCCTTTAGTTTATTAATTTTATAGACAAGAAACTGTCCTAGAAACAAAGGCTGCTAGAGTTTGTTTATTCTTCTTTAACTTGGGAGTACCATGTCTGGAAACAAAAGTCAAATTTTCTGTCTTACATTTTGTCTCCTCCCTCTTGGCAAAAGTAGCTGAAAAGTGGTAGAAAATGCTGAATAACAGAAAAGTATCAATGTGTTTGACACCCATGACTGAAATGTCATGATCGTGTTTGTCAATAAAAAAAATAGCTGTCTGCACATCAGGCAATTACTGTGTATGTTTTGGAAGGAGAGTTGTTTATTAAGAAAGTCATCATAAATAACCCATACAGAACACAGAAGCTAGGTAGGCAGAGAATAGGCTTTTGTAGGACATTTATTCCATACCTTAAGAGCTTCATGGTTTTCCTTAACTTTCAGACAGAGATACTACGCAGAGAGAAATTATGCCTTTCATGTGAATTCTGATACCAGTTTCTCAATATCTTGCTCCACAAATTTCAACACAAAATTTAAACTTGAATGTGCTTATTAGGAATTTTACAAAATGCTCTTTGCTGACAATGCTTTTGATACATCATGTCAAAATTCTTAATTTCCCCTCTGGTAAAACAGGCAAAATTCTGAGATTCACTGCATTCATTCTGGTTCCTAAGACAGTGTCCACCTGATGGTTTATAGTACAGAAATCAAACCAGCCACTATGGCTTAGCAGTCATTTCCCATGGAAGATAATACTGGCCTTCTTAATGCTGGGACTCATGGGCTTGTTGATGTGGCTTTCTGGTGCGCCAGAATCTCCTGGCAGCTCCTGTACACTTCAATCAAGCAGTCCAGCCGGGGCTTGGCACTCTTGAATTCCAAAGGGGAGAAATGCAGAGTCAGGTGAACATAAGAGAGTTCTTAGTGGTTCTGCATCCACATGCAAGCTCAACCTCTCACCCACATTAAGGGTTCTAACTTGCACAGGTGTGAGCTCAGAGAGGCAAGAAATTGAAACCTCAGAGCATCTTGTTGGGAAAATTCCCAGCTAGCCCCACAGACCAGCCTGAGATTGTACAAGGCACACATCAAAAGACAGCATTTTAATCCATGGTGGTACACGCCTATAATTCCAGCAGTCCGGGAGACGGAGGCCGGAGGGGAACAAATTCAAAGCCAGCCTCAGCAACTTAGCAAGACCCTATCTCAAAATAAAAAAGTAAAAACAGGTAGGGATGCGGTTCAGTGGTAGTGCACCCCTGGGTTCAATCTCCAGTACCAAAAAAAAGGATGGTTTTTTAAATCTCTAAATTTCAGGACAGCAAGAGGAATAACAAGGATGGACCTTAAAAAATGTCACAAGTTGTGAAATAGACCTCAGAGACAAGCAGGACAGTTTAATAAGTAAATTCAGAAAATCGTTTTATACTATGAAATGGAAAACAACCAAAATTAAAAGAAAAGCCACAGAATGTGAAAAATATATATATGGAAAGTGTATTTAATAAAAGTTTGCTGCTCAAAATATACAAAGAATTGTTATGAATGCATAGTCAATATCTAGATTTTAGAAGAGATGCACAGTTTAAAATAAGAGCTAATAGGTGATCACACTTATAAGAAAATATGAAAAATATCTTTAAAGCAATACAAATTTAATAACTTTAAAATGCCTCTACTTACACATTAAATTAAAAAACAGGTAAGCCACTGTTTGCCAAGACTTTAGAAAAACAAGTTCAAATTCCAGAGTAGTAAAGTTGTTCAGTCTCTAGAGCCCAATTTCAAATATAAAAATCTATAAGATTGGGCTGAGATTGTAGCTCAGTGGTAGAGTGCTCACCTAGCACATGTGAGGTACTGGGTTCAAACCTCAGCACCACATAAAAATGAAATAAAGATACTATGTCCACCTACAACTAAAAAATAAATTTTTTAAAAAAAAATCTATAAGACTAAAGTTTAATAAAATAATTTTGAACTTTTATGCAAAATGATTTTGTGCAGCTTTCTTAAATCTTTCATAAAAAGGGAAGGGCAGTGAGAGCAAATTATTATATATAACTACTACCAGTCATGATGGCACACACATGTAATCCCAGGAACTAGGAAGGCTGAGGCAGGAGGATTGCAAGTTTGAGGCCGGCCTCAGCAACTTAATGAGACCCTGTCTCAAAATAAAAAATAATAAGATCTGAGAATGTAGCTCAGTAGTAAAGCATCCCTGGGTTCATTCCTCAATACCAACATATATTTATATAGATTTAATATTATTTACCTACAAAGTAATTTATTATAATCATGGTTGCATAGTGTTGTTGTTATAAGAATAAAACAAAAAATTACCTAGATATAACTTAAAAAGTTAACAATAAAATGGCTAAGTAAATTGACATTCCAATATGCTAGAATGCAATAAAATTATTTAAAATAATAAGCATAATGGCCTTTGTAAAAAAAAATGAATGTTAGATGATCATTAACATCTATGTAAAAGTGTACATTAGTTAAACTGACAGGGTTAAAGTTAATGAATGGTGATTTGTATGCAGGAGTTGTTATATGTTTGATTATTCTCTTCTATATAATTTGTACGAATTCCTAATATTTTACCTCAGAGGGGAACTTTAAAAATAACTAAAATCCTCATTTTCACTAAAATTAGTTATCAGGTATCTTCCAATACTCTGACAATAGATGTTTACATTCCTACTGAACTTAAGTGGCAGTAGATATGCAGAAAAGTAAAGGATTTCATTGGAGAAAGGAAAGTGTTCTGTGCTCACCTGGAAGACAGGTACTACTTGGGATATCATATGTGGTTCCACTGGATCCTTCAATAAAATGCAGAGGTAGTAAATCACCTTCTGCTGTAAGAAAATAAACCAAATAACTCACTTTGTGTTCTTCTTTCTTCAAGGGAAGGCTCAAAACTGTCATAAATGGTTATCTCTAAGTAGCAGAATGCTTGATAGCTTCTAAAGTGAGGGAGAAGTATATTTTCATTCCTTAAAAAAACAAAACAAAGCTGGGCACAATGGCATGTACTTACTATCCCAGCAATAGCTCAGGAGGCTGAAACGGGAAGATCACAAGTACAAAGCTAAACTCAGCAACTTAGTGAGGCCCTAAGTAACTTAGTGAGACCCTGATTCAAAATAAAAAACAAAAAGGCTGGGGATATAGCTCAGGTAAAGTGCCCTGGGTTAAATCCCCAGTACAAAAATAAATTAATAAAAGCTGGGCACTTAGCGCATACCTGAAGTTCCAACTGTGTCTAGAAATTGGAGACCAGTGGAACAACACAGTGAAATTTTGTCTCAAAAAAAAAAAAGCAGAGATGATTTTTAAAGTTGGGCTAGAAGATAAAGTTAAAATGCTGATTCCATGAAAATCTGCTGTGTCTCTAAAAACATTCATGCACTGCATAACAATGTTTCAGTCAATGATGGTGAGACTTTAAGATTATAATGGAGCTGAAAAATCCCTATTGCATAGTGGCATTATGTCATAGTGCAATGTATTTTTTTTTTTAGTGCAATGTATTTCTTATATGTTTGTGATGATGTGGGTATAGACAAATATGTGCTGCCATATAAAAGTAGATATGAAGTATATAAAGTACATAATACTTAATAACGATAATAAACAAATGGTATTGGTTTATGTATTTACTATATTAACTTTCTGTTGTTATAGAGTATTGCTACTTACAAAAACATTTCCTATAAAGTGATATGCCATGTTATGCTGGCAGCAGCCTCCAATACCTCATGTTCACTACATCTCTTGATTACACCAAGAGGCTATGGTTAGCCAGGCACAGTGGCGCATGCCTATAATCCCAGCAACTCAGGAGGCTGAGGCAAGACAATTACAAGTTCAAAGCTGGCCTCAGCAATTTAGCAAGGCCCTAAACAACTTATTGAGACCCTGTCTCAAAATAAAAAACAAAACAGGCTAGGGGATGTGGCTCAGTGGTAAAGCGCCCCTTGGGTTCAATCCCTGGTACCAAGAAAAAAAAAAAAAAAACAGCGGTTATGATTCAATGACACACACTGTGTAAGTCTGTGTAAATATACTTCATGATGTCTGCTCAGTGAGGAAACTGGCTAACAATGCATTTCTCATAATATATCCCATCACTAAAAAAAGTACAACTGTAAAGATAGTTATCTTTTCAATGGAAGTTTGTTTCCCTTTTGTAGTTTATATTCATGCCAGCTAAAAAGGAAACACTGAAGATTTGGACCAGAGGGTCCTCAAGTATAATTCTGTGTGATCAAATGCTTTAGGTAATAAGACTCAAGTTTAGATGAAGGAACATCCCATGAACTGACTATCTCCTCCAGAGAAACCTGTAATACTCATTACTTAAACACTTACCATGTAAATAGCCTCGTTAATGACAACATCCTTGACTTTGCCCATCTCTATGAAGGTAGTGCTTTCTTTGCCTGAAGCATAGGATGAAGTCATCTGGATGCCAAGGGAATCAATGATTAACAAAGTCTCTTGATCAATCTTCACAAAATGGAGGTACCCAAGCAAGCCTAAGAGGGTGATGGAGATGGCAGCAGAGAGGATCATGCTATTCTGAAGAGAGAGCCAGACACAGGCAGTAAAATTACCAAGAGGTCCTCTGCGTATATCTGTGCCATAAGACAAGTCAATTAGGCATTGAGAAAAAAGGCTTTGCTCTGCTGTGAGCTAAAAAGATGAGAAGAACATGCACGGAAGAAGAGGAAATCACTTTTATTCAGACTCTGAAGTGCTATAAAGGTATATAGTGAAATGAATCCAGATTACTAATGACTAAGTCTATGGAGAACTTTCAGCAAAATGTCCCCATCATACTAGCCTCAGAAATTATTCTATCAGGCACAATGACACATGCCTATAATCCCAGCAATTTGGGAGGCTAAGGCAGGAGTAGAAGTTCAAGGCCTGCCTAGGAATTTTAGTGAGATCCTCACTATATTTGGTGAGCCCCTGTCTCAAAGTAAAATAAAAAGGGTTTGGAGGTAGCTTAGAGGTGGAGTGCCCCTAAGTTTGATCCCCAACCCCAAAAAAGAAAAAAAAAAAAAAAAAAAAAAACTTCCAAAACTGCATCTTAAGGACCAAATGTTTTCCTCATGTGCTCCCTCAGCAGAACATACAGTACAAAATTATGGACTGAACAACTATAGAATGCTCATCACAGCAGCAGTACACTCCTCACCTGATTAACAGCCATTCATCCTTCTTAAATTTGGAGTGAATCATGATTAGCCTAGAAATGTGCATGTGATACAACTCTAACCAATGAAATGTTGGAGAGAGGGTTTGCTGAGAGGAGTGACAAACTTAGTTCATCTTAAAAAGAAATCTAAGTCTTTTGGGGTGATGGACCTTCTACCCTAGAACCATGGCCCAGTTCATGTGCAGCCTCACAGAGAAGGCCCCAGTGCTGCTGTCACTCAAAGCCTCGACTGGCCCCATTTTGACAGTATGCCAAAGCTGAGCTCCGTTTCTCCAACCCTTGCTGAGATCCCTACAGCTAGCTATTCAGAGCCTGAAAATAAGTCAATAGTGCTTAAACTGGTTGCTTTAAACAGCTCACAGTTAAAGAAGCTGTGCTGAATGGTTTGATGGCCAATGAAGTGTGGATGTGGTTTTATACTAGAGAGATCATAGACAAGCATGGCATCATTGGCTATAATGTTGAAGACCAATAGCCAACATCTGATTATATTTTATTTATTGTTTCAGTATTCTTGGACCATATGTGATCAAATTGCTATCTCAATAAAATGTGTCAGATTAAAAAAAAAAGAGCAATCTAAGGAATAAAGATCCCCTTGTTATGAGGTGTAGATGCCTGAAACTTTTATAACCTCTGCAAAACAAAGTGGAGAGCAATGGTAAGGTCTAGTGGAGTACACTGAAGTTGGAAGAGCAGGAAGATGAAAAGAGCCAGAGTCAAATGAGCCTCTCATATAAACTCTATAGGCTTCCTACCTCATGTTTGTTTTTTTTTTGTTTTGTTTTGTTTTTTTTATCAGGGATTAAACCCAAGGGCACTTAACCTCTGAGCCACACCCCAGTCCTTTTTTAAAAAAAATTTTTTGAGACAGGGTCTCATTGAGTTGCTCAGTGCCTGGCAAAATTGTTGAGGGTTATGGTTAGGGTTTTGCTTGACTTTCTTCTAAGGTTGAAGTAAGGAATTCAGTAAAGCACCTGGTACTCAGTGGGTATTTAATGAATATCTGCTCCTACCACATGTATGATTAGAATTCAGGGTAGTATTAAAACTAAATTATTGCAGTAGGGATGTAGTGGTAGAGGGCTTACTAAACATGCTAGAAACCTAAGGTTCAATTCTCAGCACTGCAAATAAAAATAATAATAATTATTCAACTATATTATAAATTAAATTTAAGAGGGACTTTCAAGTTAATTTAATCATAATTTTAGTTGATCCATGAAGAAACTTTTAGCTACAATTAAATACATGTTAAGACAGTCTTAATTCTGCTTATTTCTATGCTAAATTACTATGTTCTGCAATATGCTTTGATGGCAAGAGCTAATGGATGCAGCAATGGAAACTATATGTAAATTACATAAATAGCCCTGCTGGACTTAGCTCTAGTCAGATCACTCCTGAAATAATATACTCATTTAAGAGGACTATATTTGAAACAAGAACACATACTTTAAAAAGATGATTCAGCCAGGCACAATTGTGCATGCCTATAATCCCAGCGTCTCAAGAGACTGAGGCAGGAGGATTGCAAATTCAAAGCTGGCCCTAAGCAATTTAGCAAGTGAGGCCCTAAGCAATTTAGCACGATGGGTCTCAAATGTATGAAATATGATATGTCAAGAGCTTTGTAATGTTTTGAACAACCAATAATAAAAAAAAAAAGAAAACACAAAAAGGGCTGGGGATGTGGCTCAATGTTAAGCATTCCTCGGTTCAATCCCTGATAGTCAGGTAAGGGTGGAGGAAGATTCAGGCAGGGAACAGTAACACAAGCCTGTAATCCCAGAAACTCAGAAGGCTGAGGCAAGAGGATCCCAAGTTAAAGGCCAGCCCAGGCAATTAGCAAGACCATTCCTCAAAATAAAAAATAAAAAGGTATAGGGATATACCAATATCAGTCATAATCCCCCTGGGTTCAATCCTCAGTACTTGGAGGGAAAAAAAAGGTGGGAGGGGGCATGACTCAGATTATTCCTTTAATTTGAGAACGGTTACACAGCTATGCTTTTGACCCTCACAATATTGTAAAGCAGGTATTAATTCCATTTTGAAGATGTGAAAACTGAGGCTCAGAGAAAACAGAAATATGTCTGAAAACAGCATAGGAAACCATTCATGTCTGCACTTTCTAAATTCTTTAGAAAGTACGCCTGAAAATTGGAGTTAGAGGGAGGGTTAAATTGCCTTGAAAAACAGAAGTTAAGACAAATAAAACTCTATATACATACACACGTGGAAGCAAAGGCAGTTTCTGGAAGACCACACGTAAGGAATTAGCAATGTGCTTCTGAGGAGTAAAAGATATGGATGAGGACAATCCACCTTACAGTTCTCTGAATTCATGAAATTAAAGTACTATGAGGGCTGGGGCTGTAGCTCAGTGGCAGAGCGCTTGCCTAGCATGTGTGAGGCCCTGGGTTCGATCCTCAGCACCACTTATAAATGAAAGTATTCTGTCCATCTATAACTACAAAAAAAATTTTAAAGAAAGTACTAAGAGCATGTGCCACATAAAACACATGGTGTGAACGTTTTAGGCTTTCGTGCAAGAACTAGACAAATGCTGGGTCACTCCACAGAGCGGCGCAGCAGCCCACGGGAGAAGAATGTGCAGGAGCACAGACTTCATTAAACTCAATGAAAGAGCTGTCCAGCACGGAGCGGCGTCCCCAGAACCAGCGGGTCCCCGACTTCCGACCCTAGGACGGTGGGAGGTTCCCACCCGAATTCTGGGCTAGACCAAGACCCTTCCAAAGCCCAGACACCACCTCCAGGCGCAGGCAGGAGCCGACCGGCCATTACCTCCCAGAGGGTGAAGAGTCCGTAGGCCGCCAGCCACACGGTGCAGGTGACAGCAGTGAGCGACCGCAGCGAGAGCCGAGGGCAGTTGAGGCAAAACTCCCGGCAGAACGGCGAGTAGTAGCGGCGCTGCAGGGCCAGGCGGCCGCCACAGATGTCCGAGAAAGTCCTCTCATCCTCCATCGCCGCTGGCTCCACGCCGCAGCGCCGCTCTAGCCCACCCGCGGTTCCGCGCAGTCTCGCCGGCGCAGGAGCCGCTTCCGGGAGCGGATCAGCCCCGCCCCGCCCCACCCCGAACTCCGCGCAGCCGCAGTTGCTCACCGGTTGGGGTTGGTTCGGCTGGGATTCTGTTCTGTAATTGTCGCCTTCTAGAAATTCCTAGGGATCCAACAATTGCGGACAGATCAAAACCTATCATAACGTACTTTCACTCGACAGACTGGTTTCCATTATAAGCCAGAGTGAGCCCCAACGAGAGGGTCCGCAGGAATAAATTCATCCGCTCATTCATTGCTGTGCCAGGTAGTTTTAAGGTGCTGAGGGTATTGACAAGGTCTCTGCCCCCAAATAGCTTCGCTTCTTGTAGGAGAATCGATATGGAAATAACTTCAGATAATTATGTTGGCAATAATGTGCTAACCGGCAGGGGTGGAATGGGGACTTTATTAAGGCAGTCAAGAAGGGTCTCTGATGACACGGGACTTAGAAGGAGGAGGCCTCACCCTGGTCTGCCAAGGCCGCTCTGGAGGAATAATTTCCCTGAAAGAAGGACCAGGAAAAACAAAGCTATGAAGCAGAAACAAGGTTGACTTAACTGGAGGAATGAAAAGGTCAGCATGCCAGAAGAACACTTGGAAGTTGGGGAGGTAGGTAGGGATAAGACCCAGGAGGTAGTTGAAGACCTAGTAAGGAGTCTGGGAGTTGTCTCCTCTGGATCATATCTTGGAACATGGAGTAAGCAAACAAATCCTGGCTGGAAAGAAAACAGGAGTGGGAGATGCAGAAGGTATTACAATACCATCTTGCCCGGGCTAGCCTCGAACTCTTGGGCTTAAACTGTCCTCCCACCTCAGCCTCCTGAGTAGCTGGGATTATAGGGGCATGCCATCGCACCCACCTCCTTTATTTGATTTTTTTTTTTATGGTATCTTATTGATGACTCCTACAAATGTGTGAAGGGGAGATAAACCCATCCTCAGATGAAGAAAAACTAAGAGAATTTGTCACCAACAGATCTACCTGGAAAAAAAAGGCTAATGGAATCTCTCTAAACAGGAAGGAAATGATAAAAAAAGGAATCCTGGAACATCAAGAAGAAACAGTGAAAAACCAAAAATATGAATAAACACGACAGACTTTTCTTCTCTTGAGTTTCCTATGTTATATTTGACGGTTGAAGTGAAAATTATGCCACTCTCTGATGTGGCTCTTGATGAATGCAGAGAAAACATTTAAGACTATTATAAATGGAGAAGAGTAAAACAACACTAATTATTAGAGGCACCACTAGACCTTGTTATTTAATGTGTCAATAAAAAGAAACATTACTATAGCATTTAAAACGATGTTTTAATAACTGTATACACACACATATATGTATGCATATACACTTTGTGTTGGTAGGGGTTGAACCTAGGGTCACACATCCCCAACCCTTTTATTTTTTATTTTGAAACAGGGTCTCACTAAGTTGCTTAGGGCCTTGCTAAATTCCTGAGGCTGGCTTTGAACTTGGATCCTCCTGCCTCAGCCTCATGAGTTGCTGGAATTACAGGTGTGTACCACTGTGCGCAGCTAATAACTATGTTTTAATTCAGTTAGTTTTTGTTGAAATTCTATGTATTTTAATTATGCATTTAAAAAATTAACTCTTTTTAACTTCATTAACTTCACCAGATTTTTACCACTGAACTACATCCTGGACTTTTTTATTTTTTGAGACGGTCTCACTAAATTCCTGAGGGCCTCGCCAAGTTACTGAGGCTGGCCTCAAACTTGGGATTCTCCTGCATTGGCCTACTGAATCGCTGGGATTACAGGCATAACACCACCATGCAGGCCTCATTTCCGCCCCCACCCCAGTCTGTTTTCCTCTGTTGGTTAAATTAGATAATTCTTATTATCCTATATTCAAGCTCAATGAATCTTTCCAGTGTCCTCTGCATTATGTCTCTGAGCTCATAGGTTGAGATTTTTTATTTTACTTATTATGTTTTTTAATTCTAAATTTCTGTTTGGAGTTAGCTGCAGTAGCAAATGCCAGCAACTTGGGAGGATGAGGCAAAAGGATCATAGATTCAAGGTCAGCCTCAGTAACTTAGTGAGACCCTGTCTCAAAATAAAAAGGACTGGGGATATAGCTTAGTAGTAAAGGACCTATTGGATTCTTATTTCAGATAAGAAAGAAAAAATATATATATATATTTTAAAAAGTTTTTGTACTTAAGATGGACAGAATGCCTTTATTTATTTTTTAAAATTATTATTTAGTTGTAGTTGGACACAATACCTTTATTTTATTTATTTATTTATTTATTTATTTATTTATTTATTTATTTATGGTGCTGAGGATAGAACCCAGGGCCTTGCACATGCAAGGTGAGCACTCTACCGCTGAGCCACAACCCAGCCCTTTATTATTTTTACGTGGTGCTAAGGATCAAACCCAGTGCCTCACACATGCCAGGCAAGCGCTCTGCCACTGAGCTTCATACAGCCCAGCCCAAAAAATATACATATTTTTAAAATTTTTCCATTTGGATCTTTGTATCTTCTTTGCTGAGACTTTATTTTTTTCATTTGTTTGAAGCATGTTTGTAATTGCTTGTTGAAGTGTTTTTATGATGGCATTTTAAAAATCCCTGCCAGAGAATTCTCACATTGATGTCATTTCAGTATTGGCATCTGTTGCCTTTTTTCATTCAAATTGAGATTTTTCTGGTTCTTAGAATGATGAGTTATTTTCATTTGATACCTGGGCATTTAGTTTACTATGTGACTGTAGGTCTTATAAATCTTGTTTTATATCAGGCCTCCTCTGCCATGCCCCACCCGGAAAAAAGGAATCCCAGCGCATTAACTGCCAGGTGAAAATCCAGGCTCCCCACTTGACCTCCACTGACACCTGCTGGGCAGACCTGGTAACCTCTGGGTGGAGTGGAAGTTGGGGCGGCCCACATGTTCTCCACTGACACTGCAGGGTGGGGCTGGGAGAGGCTCCTTACCACTCCCAGGAATGAAAGTCCCTGCTGCACCCCAGTGACAAGGTGGGGTGCTTCCTTACTGTCTGGTGAAAGTGCAAGTCTAGGTTTCTCAGTTTTGGCCTTTGCTGGCAGAAATGAGGGCAGAGCCAGTTTTTTTTTTTGTGGTGTTTGACTGGACTAGTTACTGTTTAAAAGTTTCCCATCTTGCTTGGCTATTTCTTATTTTTGACAAGAAAGAGCAGCCTTTCCTTAGAGCATATTTGTGTATGTGCCTATTGACATTTCTGGGTTGCTCTCTTCTCCAGCATCCAATCTGGGATGTATGAGACAAAAGCAAAAACCATGGGATGCACTCCTGTTTGTTCCTCAGGTTCTAGGGTCCCTTGCCAGTCTGTCTTCTCTACTCCTTTCAAAGTTGTGTGAGTGTGTGTGTGTGTGTGTGTGTGTGTTAGTTACCAGGGATTGAACCAGGGGTGCTTAACTACTGAAACACATCCCTAGCCCTTTTTATTTTATTTTATTTTTTAAATTCTGAGACAGGGTCTCACTAAGTTGCTTAGAGCCTTGCTAAGTTGCTGAGGCTGGCTTTGAACTGATGATATCCAAGATATCAGTCTCATATGTGGGCTTCTGAAACTTTTCACTGACCAGCAATAAACTAAGTTTCCCTGTCACAGGAAAAGAGATGTTTCCAGAGACAGGTCTGAGGAGCTCCCAGGGAGAGGGGAAATTCAACTCAGGAACAGCGGGATTCTTAACATTCATGATGAAAAAGAATTTCAGTATGAGCCAGACAGAGGCGTAGACAGAAGTTTATTTAGGAAGGTAGATACACATTCAAGGGAGAATGTGAACGGTCTCAAGAGTGAGAAGCAGCCAGGCTTGGTGGTACACACCTGTAATCCCAGTGGCTCTGATGGTGAGTTCAAAGTCAGCCTCAGCAAGTTAACAAGGCCCTAAGCAACTCAGCAAGACCCTGTCTCTAAATATAATATTTAAAAAAAGGAAGGGGCTGGGGAAGTGGCTCAGTGATTAAGCATCCCTGGGTTCAATCCCTGGTTCAAAAAAAAAGAACAGTGAGAAGCAGCCCTGACTTGGACTGGGGGTCCAATATTTATAGAAGGGCTGTATGAGGGGCAGGTGGATCCAGGATGGAGCAGCCCAATTTTATGGCAGTTTTTCCTGCACTTGCATATTTCCCTCATTTCACAAGGTCATGGGCCAAGGGCATGTTGCTCAAGATTTACAACTATGCTTTGTGCATCTTAATGGCTTGTGGGCATTACCTTAAAGATTCGGTATCTCTCTCTATATATTATCCTAAATCCCTGTCTCACCTTGACTATCTACTCAGGTTTGATTAATTTGCTAGAGTATTTTACAAAACAAGATACTTTATTATATATACTTGTTTAAAATAAAGGATACATTTATATGTATTTATGCATATATGTGTATGTATATATGCATGCATGTATGTTATATATATGTATATATATATATTTTTTTTTTTTTGAGATGGGGTTTTGCTATGTTGCCCATACTGGTCTTGAACTCCTGGATCAAATGATCTTCCTGCCTCAGCCTGTCAAGTAGCTGGGACTATAGGTGTGCACCAGCATACCCAGCTATATTTTAAAGGATACCGTCAACAAAATTTCACAAAGAAAGAATTTAAGACAAAAAAGGAAGACTTATTTAAAAAAATAATAATTTGCAAACCAGAGTGAAGTTGTCTTCAGTACGAAAATGTGCTCCCAAGAAACAAAGATAGGGGCTGGCTTATACAGAGAATGTTCCAGCCCAGGTTCCCACTCTGGTCCTCTATGAAAATGAGGTATCCAAGCCAGGAAGCCCTTACTCCTGATTGGTTGATATTTAAATTTGAATGCAAAGGCTGGGGATGTGGCTCAGTGGTGGAGCACTCACCTACCATGCACCAGGACCTGAGTCTGATACCCAATACCACAAAATAGAAAAATAGTAAAGAGGACTGAGATTGTAGCTTACAGGTAAAGCACCTGCCTAGCATGTGTGAAGCACCGGGTTGGA